AGAGATACCTGTACCTGTTCCACTACAGTAAGTGCAGGGCAGAGGACTCCAATGTAGAGCACCTTGGTTGAGAGAGAAGGCTCAGATGCTTGGGGCACCGAGTTAATGAGAGTAATCTACCACAAGGCTGTCAGTGGAGAAAAAGCCACTACAGCAACAGTGTTAAAGCTGCTGTGCAGCACCTTTTCTTATTTGAACGCACACTGTAGTGCTTCCGTTCCTACATTCTGTGATAAGAATAATAATTTCTTGACGGGACCCCTAAAGAAAAGTGAGGTCCTGACTAGAAATCAAATAAGTTTTTAACTATTTTGAAAAATGTCTGACTTTTTCTTTCAAGGAGAGCTTTTTTCTGTAGTTCTCATTTAGCTAATTATAATTATTATTACTTATTGCTACTCAGATAGTTGCAACTTCAAATCAAACCTGAGGCTAAAACAAATGTACCATATTGCTTTATTTCTAGATGTAACTGTATTCTGGCCTCTTCTGTGTTCTTGAAGAACTGAGCTCAAAAAACATTTGTCAAGTTATTTGCCAATCTCAAGGCAGGAAACTAAGCTTCTGTTCTTTTTACATACAGTATTATGTTGCTGTCTAATTGTATTTTATCAAAACATTAGCCTGGTTTTTAAAACAGTGTTCACCATATAATTGTCCTTTCCCTGGGGCATTTTCAAAGGTGCGATGTACAATTTCCAAATGGCAAATTCCTTTCACTACCTTAGCCATGTATTTTCTGTATCTGCTAAAACATTTTATTGCAGGACAAGAGGGTGGGCAAAGCCTTTGGTTAATAGGTGCACCATAGCTTTTAATAGTGTCGTCTGCTGAACTTGAAATTTCATGCCATGTCTTTGGAATCCCCGGTATTTCTTTGCAGAGTGACTTGCAGATTCACCACATACATCTCACTATTTAGAGGAATGACAGCCTTTGACAAGTTCTGAATCAATCAGCCTGCAAATTGGCACTCCTGACAGATGTGCTAAACAGCCCTACGAGATGGCTCTTGACAGCTTTTTGTTGATACAACAGTCAACGTCAGTGTGGGAAAGGGTAAAGGGAGGGGAGGGGGATTCTCTTTCTATCTTTCTATTGTGCCAGAGGAACAAGTACAATTTTGTGGTTGAAGTAATCAGGACCACAGTCTCGGTAATTAATGTTTAAAGCGAAGCAAAGCAGAAAGAAACTGTTTCACTGGAGTTGTGTCTTGGACAGAAAAGAGTGCTGAAAGGGGGCTTTGGCTGCTATAGTTATCCGTACACAGTCACAAGAATTAAAAGTTCATGCTATGACTTTGACATTTAGCGCGAGACCTGGTGTCTTCGTGCATTCCTCTTCGTATTACCAAGGCTGCTGGTCTCCTGGCTCAGACCGTTTCACAAACCATAACATTTTTTAGTGAGTGATTGATCTGTATTATGTGTCCCAGCCATCAGAGGAATCCTGGGATGTTGCTTGTATAAACTGTAATACAATCTGGAGGCGCAGCTCGAGTTTCAGTCCTTCATAGACCTGTTGGCGATACTCAATCCGCCTGGATTTGGGAATGGGGCTTATCTGATACTTTCCAAAAAAAGCCCCTCATTTTCTCTATTCCCAAGTTAACTAAGACAGCACATCTGGTAACACTGTAGGAGCATTGTCCTTTTGGTTTCTGCAAGAGCTCAGATTGCTTCAATATTTCCTCAAGGATCTGGTTACCTAAAGGGCAAGGGGACTCAGAAAGAACTGTGTTTATACCAGGCTTTCAAATAAAAACCTTCTGGATTTAATGAAAAGGGGTGTTTTTTTGGTGTATAATATATTCTTATTTTACTGCTTCTCAATGCAGTTTTCAAAAGACGAATAAGGACGCTCCTTTTACTGGTCTAGAAAATAATAATTGGAAACCATTTTAAAAAGAGGGACTGGGCTAATTAGGCATCCTCTGTACGGCTGAGCAGTTAGCCAGGCTATTTAAGATAATGCGATGTATCTGGTTATTTAAGTTATTTGAGCCTTTCAGCTTAATGTTTTTAATTACAGTATGGGAATAATAGGAAATGAAATCAAATGTATGCAGTGTCATCAACGAGCTCTGTAGGTTAAACAGCAGCTTCACCAGATGAAGAGATCAGTGGGAAATGGGGTGTGTGAATTCTAGTCTGCAGAACGGTGTGAATATTAATGCTGGAAGCCACCTTGCCGTTTAAAAGAAAAGTTTAGAACTTTAGTGTTGGCAATCTTAGTGTTAACATCACTTTTTGTCCTCAGTAAGAAAAGACGAAAATACAAATCTGATTAAAACCATTGTGAGCTGGGTAGCTAAAAATGATTAATATGTCTAGTTTGTAAAATAAGTCTTGGAATTAAACTCCCAAACATTCTGTTAAATGCACTGTCATATAGTGTAACAGTGGCAAATGTGTACGTTAGTTTCGAGGTCTGCGCACGTTCTGAAGGCTTTCCAAAGAAAAAGAATTCTGCATCCTGTGTAGACTCGGCATCTATTTTGGAAGCAGTTACAGTGTATCTCCACCAGTGGTGCTGTATGCTACCATCCATCCATTTTCTAAAAAACTGAGGCATCTGGAGGAAACCAGTGCAAATACGAGGAGAGAAATATCAAAGCACGACACAGAAATGTGATTTTACACGACTTTCTCTGTATCGATGTGACACAGGAGTTTTTCCATCATCAGCTTGGGGAAAAGAAGAAATGACTGACCAGTCATAAGGAATGACTTCAGCTATTGCAATTGATAAATAGTCCCTTGTAGGAGGAATCTGTTTTCTAACTCCTTCTAAAGGGGCCCCTTTATGAGAATGCTCAAGCAAGACCGTTTAATTGCTCCTAGAGAAATCTGCATAAAAGTCTAGTATATGATATTTAGGAGTGGACAATGGACTTGCCTAGTGGGAATAAATTAATTTCTTCACTTACATGATGTTTAAACCCGTAGTTTAGGTGTACATGCATTGCGGCTATGATGGTCCCCCGTACGTGGCTTTTGTACAAGTTTGCAAGCTCCGGCCTGGGCCAGGTCACCAGCCCACTGCGGCTGGCATTCTGCAAGAACTGGCACTCAGCTGGTGAGCTGGCCTGGCAAAACCTGACGGCTAGGCTTGCAGGGATGACGTTCCACTCATCGGACCAGAGCTTCAACCTCCCGCGAGTCGCTGTGGAGCTTATAGCACATGGAATGGCGAAAGGTCGCTCATTTCATACATACCCATCACAAGTGAAGGAGTCAGTGGATATATTTAGGCACATATGCCTTAGCAATCAGTAGGTCATCACTTTTAAAATTTTTTGCCCTGTCCTTCTTTATACTTTTCTGGTTTCTTCCCATGTGGGTACTGGAAAGTTCTTTTATGATGTAAAAGAGATGAGATGTAAAAATTACATTTGTGGTCCCACGTTATGGGAGTATATAGAAAAGCAAGTGGCTGTTCTAAACTGTAAAGAAAAAGAGTGGCTGGCTCATAAAAGCTTAATATCTTTGTGTATTTTTTGAGGGGTAAAATTAAATATTTGCATTCTGTGCTCTGAATCAGTGTTATTTGGAGAACTGTCATGCTAGTAAGTAGCTTGTAAGTCAGTCCTGTTGAATTAAGTTAATTGATTTTTACTTTATTCTTCAGATAAATGGTATTTGTAAGATGATGTTAACAGTGCTCATTTAGAAGAGGCACTTGTAATGTCCTATTTAATTATTAGTTTGGTGTGCTCTTTTCAAATTTTGTCAAAGCTTCAAGAGCTTTTGAATTGTGTTGTACTCTCACAGAGCTAATAGGGTCCTGTCTGAGTGGATAGGAGGTGAGCACTGAAGGCAGAGAGTCTTTCTTCTGACACTACCTATTGAGAGGAAAACAGCCTGGCCCTGTTTACTAAATCACTCAGGAGAACCGATTATGAGTGATACCGAAAGATGAAATCAAGTGGCTTTTTATTACGTGGTAAATCTCCTTGTATTTCTGGAAAATGGCAGTTTCAAACTGTGTTCCAAGTGCATCCTTGCCTTCTGCCTCATTTTAAATTTGGCTCAGGGGGAGAGGTGTGTCAGCAGACCTTTTCTCTTTTCACAAGACTCTAATTAACCCTTTGACTCGGAGCATTTCTGTGTTTGAAGTTTCCAATGGCCTCAGCCTGTGCAACATCACCAGCCTGCAACTTGATATTGGTGTAACGCACTAGAATGACATGGATATAAATAAGACCCCAAATTAGTGCGGATTCTAAATGTGTTTTGTAGAAACATCAGATGGTCTGTATAGATGTTAAAACATGCTAGCATTTTGACTAATAAGACTCAGTTATTGCAAATGAAAGAACATCTTATATTCCTCTATTCAACGTGAGTAGGAAAACCAGTGATTTACATCTGATTTGCAATTTAGAATTTATATATATAATGTACTGTATGTGAAATCTGTTTGCCCCCTGAGCTAACCAAAGTGTGTGAATTGTACATGAACTACCTGGAATGTTAGAGCATGGACCAAGCTACCCTATCATGCTGTTGTAGCAGATATCCTGGCTTCTTTTAAGAAACAGCTGAATCAATTATGTACTAGCAACCAAATGAGCTAACTGGGCCAAATGTCCTCCTGTTGTTTAAAATCTTTCTTTTATTCTTATGTTCTGTAATGGCTTTAGAAAAGAGTTTCCATAGCCATTTCCATGGTGCACTGTAGGGGATATATTAAGGTGACATTGTTCCCTGTGGTATAATGATCTTAAAATACATATTCTATAATGTCTACTGCAGGCAGAACCAACAGGGTCTTTCTTGTCTGCCCGAACTGACCGGGCCCAAAAGTATTTATTGATGAGAGGAGCTGTGTTCTACTTGCATTCTGATATTATCTCTGGCAAGTTACAGTATGATGAAAAGATACTGTATATTTACTGTCAGCTTACTATTCTGTTTCCACTAGATGTGGGTTGCCTAAATGGTCTTAAATAACTATCTGTTGAGTAATTAATATTTTTTCATGTGCTTGTGTCGCAGGTAGTTGAACTCGTCTCCAGTGCCATCGGTGACTTGGTGCAAGGCATTTATTATGAGAACACCAGTGCGGCTAAGGTGAGTCCAGAAAAACGCCATTCTGACTTTTCCTTCTAGGCTTTTTACGGGACTCAATCAGTAAACAGTAAGTATGTGAGTGTTGTTCTTGAAAAGAAAAAACAGGCTGAGATTTTGCCAATAGACCACCCATCTTCTTCATGAAATCTCTGAATAGGTGAAAGTAAACCAACTAAGGGGCATACAAAAAGACACACAAATGGAAATAAAAGGGAAATAAAGGGAAACTTCCTGAAGACTGCACTTTCATTGTGTACATGGACAGCAACTCAGAAACACAATAAGTCCGATAGAACACTCACGTGCTAACTTTTTTGGCTTTAGAAGATTATAACCGTCTCCGTTTTTTTTACATTTTTTTTTTAACTGCATGACGATCGCGTCATTTGGCAAAGGAGGATTTGAAGATGGGCTCTGTCACACCACAGTGACCAGAGTCACTATTGCAGCAGGTCATCAGAATGAAAAGTAATGCTTCATTTAGTGAGGTAATAATAAAGAGATGTGTGGGATAACAAGCGCACAGAGCTCAGCAGCCATTATTCATTCACCCATTCAACGTTGCAGGTCTTTTTTATTTGCAAATCCTTGACATCAGGCAGCATTAGTTTAATATCATTTGGGTAAACTCAGACCAGGAAAACTGCCTGTCTCACAGACTGTGAAAGGCTGCCGAATAAAATAATATAGTTGATATATGACTACTATATCATACACTGTATTATTATTTTTTAAAAATATCTGATTGATACTAAATTTTGTTCTTGAACTCTCAAACAAAATTAACACATTTAAAATGGACCCCTTTTTGAAAGACAAAATTGCATGAATATCTTATACTTGTGGGTGAAGAGATTAATTTAAAACAGGAAGATCAGAATGCAAGCAAGAGATAATTGACAACTAAAACTATATGCTGCTTCTTTGAGAGATCTCACTATAGGTGTTAACAGTTGGGGAAACTATTCTCCGCTGGTTTCTTATCAGACTGGTATTTACTAGACAAAAGCTTGCGTTAATTTCAATTCTTACATTTGGAAGACCTGGAGTTCAATTTTGAATAATTTAATACAGTATATGCAAGCACATATGTCTAAACCAGTAGAAATGGGAAATCAGTCCCATGCTGATCATTTAAATTTTCAGAGGCAGCCCCTCCTTTTTGGAATATTCTTCCTGACCATATTAAAAAAGCTACTTCTGCTGATGTTTTTAAACCATGCCTTAAAACTTAAGTTTTTGATGGTCTTTAATTAATCTGTTTTTTTGTTTTAATTTCACATTTATAGATGGTCTTATTGTATTTCTGTTCACGGTTCTTTTTATATGTATAATTTATGTAAAAAGCTTGGAGAATGTTCTGGATTGAAAGGCACTATATACAGTAAGAATAAAACTGACTTGATTGATGGATTGATTGATTGATTCAAGGTCAGTATGTGACTTGCTTTTAATTTAATAATGGAACCAAGTCCTTTAATAACCCTGTTTTCTCCCTTTTACCTTATTAACAGTAATATTTTGTATTTCTTTTATTCTAATAAAATGAAATGGAGAGTTCATTTTTCATCTTGAGCTGAAAGGGACACTATCTCATTTTTAATAACTGAATCCTGTCATCAGTCATCTGCTTTACGTTTGTGAAATTGTGGAAATCAAAACTGAGATAGTTGGCCTTAAAGTGCATTTGAACAAGCTGAGGAAATATGAAATATTCAGGCGATAACATCATATTTAGAAATGCTATTTTGTGCTAAGCTGCTCAATTATGACACATGTCTGGAAGTACTAATGTTGAGTTTGTGCTTTTATTTTAGTTTTGGAGTCAGTTGTATTTTGGACTTGAGTAACTGTCGAGATTTTTCACAGAAACACATTTTGAGTAAAAAGCTGCATTATTTTCGTGACTCGTCTGGGAGTTTGGTTCATTTCTTTCAGTTTCAGTACATTTAGAAATAACTGATATAGACGTTATGAGTCTTGAAGTTATGCGCTGTGAAAATGTTTGAGTTTTTGATAAGCCCATATAACTAATGCAATCCTTACCTGAGTTATCATCAATCAATTAATAACTGCCAATGCTTAGAACCCTTTTTCAATTTTAAGTGGCAAAATGTATCGTGTTACTGTTACTGATTACTTCCCTTTACATGTAATAGTGACAAAAAAGGCTTTGGCAGTGGATTGTCTTACTGGATTTTACATTTTCACAGGTGAAGGATTGGTGTATCTATTTACTTTTCAGGAGGAGCAAGTGACAGAAGACATCACTGTTGCTTCGTGGGAGGAGCAGACCTTTCTATCCCATGGTGCTTTGCTGGCAAAGAGCTGTCAGGCAGCTATGGAGCTGGCTAAGCATGACGAAGAGTCTCAGGCACTGGCATTCCAGTATGGCAAGCACATGGCCCTTGGACACAAGGTGATGGGTTTTTCCTTCAGGAAGAAATTTAGCACTGCTTGAAAGGCATTAGAGCAGATTGAGAGAGTCTGGGGAAGAGAACATAAACTTTCCAGTGATGAATAATAATCTTTCAGAGGACACCACACATGCAAACCAGGAGTCATTATTAAGTATGGCATCATGTTTATATCATTACGGTCACAGTAAAATTTATGGACCTACATGTTTCTTTTTCATTGGAAAGAAAATCTGCTCTGCTAATTTTAAACTGATTGACAAATGAGATAAAAAATGATTGTTTACTATAATCGTAATGATGTAAAAAAATTAAACAAAGCAAGTATCATTAGGAATAGTTGACCATTCTCTTTTAAATCTGTGGTGTAGCTTTTTCTTCACTGACTTTCTATAATGTAGTTCCAGTCATTTCTGTTTTTCTAGGGAAAAAATGTGTGAAGATAAAGGTTGACTTTTTATTTTCTCTGTATCTTTCTGGTCTGTTAGGTCTATTGAACGTGACAGGAACCAGATGAATGTACAGTACAGTTTCAATTGTTTCCTGTTATTTCTTTTTCAGCTCGTCACATCAATTATGGGTGACATTACCAATACCTTTTAACTGAAAAAATGGGCACCCACAGAGAATAATGTTTTTATGTCCATAATTACTTCTCAGCAGTACGAATATAGATGAAATATCTTAAGGGATATTTTCTCTCTTTGTGTATATGATCCTATGTCCTAAGGTGTAACAGTTTGGATCTGCTGTAGTTCTTTTTTTTGCATTTTCAAGCACTCAAAGTCTGTCATAATTAGTAAGATTTATTTTGTGTTTGCCATTAATTTGATCACAGCTATTCTTTGCAAAAATGCAGTTCTAGCCTTTTGACCCTAGGGATAAAAAAACAGTGAACAAGAAGGAACATGCACCCATCCAGCATGTTTTAATGACGTTGACATGGGTGTATATCAGTAACACAGAATTAATGGACACTTGCTGGCTGATTCAATCATCCATGGCTTTGAACTCATATCATAAATGATTGTAAAAAAATAAAATGAATGAGTGTTTAAGACTAAATGACCAATGGCTTTCAAATAAAAGATAGCAATAATCCAAATCCCCATCATTGATTAGTGTTTTATTTACAAGCCTTCTCTGAGAGGTGCCTCAGCATTAATCCTCCAAATGCAGTTCAAGTTGCTTTACAGTCTTCCAGATACAAAGGTGTTCAGTACTGGATCATTGTGAGATAAAAGTAGGCTCTAGTCATACACGCACGCCCTGCTTCATTCTCATGCTATCATTTCGAAGATAGTGGGTTTTGAAATGTGTGTTGCCACATTCTTCACTGATTTGAGAGTGAAGGGTGCAAACTGCTAGGTTCAGAATTTATGGAAGAAGAAAAAAAGGCAGACATGGGCCAAGAAAAATCACACTTTCCAGAAGACAGATATGACTGCACTTCTCACACAAGAACTGGAAGTAACAATACATTAGGAGCAACAACAAAAAATATAGCATGTTAAAACCAGTATGTCATGTGTGAATGTTGGGAGAATCATAAGTTACCAAAAGTGTCAATATGAAAATATCAGCGATACCGTATGTTTTAAAGAATATGGTGAGATTTTTTGTATAACTAACAAATAATTTACAAACCATTTGATGCAAATAGAGAAGTCAAACAAAATATAGAGCCATTTTCTTTTTTCCTTTTCAAAATGATATACTGTAGTTGTACCTTTTAGGGTTTCTTATACAGTATATACAGTACTTGTAGCTTGTTTATACTGCATCCACATTAACTTTTTGGTGTCTGTGAACCATTTCTCAGAACTGTGCCACTTTATGATGACAGGCTTTCCAAAATACCTGCAGACCTTTCCATACAGTATAAAACTTATAATATAACATCTGAGGTTTCTGAGTAAAATGGACGTGGAAAGTAAAACGTGTTTGATTTAAGAAGAGCATGTGTGTCTGGGGCCCTTGCATGATGTTCAGAGTGCTGTTGAATGACGTGGCCATCTTCTGTTCTCTTGTAGATTAATTCAGACCTGCTGCCATTTGTAAAGGGGAGTACGGGGGAACTTGGGACCTTCAGCTTGAACTCTGCTCCTGTTGTGTTCCATCAGGAGCTTGTTGGCAGAGAGGGCTGGATGCACCAGCTCCAGCAGGTACGGCGAAACCCCCAGTCCTTTTTTTCCTTAGATTTTTATCTCATTCTCCTGTGATTTTTTTTTTCCTCTGGCTTGAGCATATTTCTTGTCATTTATCTGAATCTGACTTGACACGAGGAAACATTTGCACTACCAGGAGGAGAGCATGAAGTGTCTTTCACAATATTTGTGAAACATAATTCAAGAAATAAGGAGCAGCGTTCTTGTGACAAATTGGGCCCTCCCGAGTGAAAAACCCCCACCCCCTCTTTCGATTTCAAGTTGACACAGGCTAGATGCCACACCTCGGCAGGATTTTTAGAATGGTCAGACAGGCCAAAATGGATCCTGTCATGTGTACTGTCACCTTACTTATGTTCTCAAGATTAAGACTGGCTCGTTATTACAGTCGACTCACAACTTGCGTGGGGACTAGGGATCTTGAGTAGCTCGTAAAGCCAATTGTGCATATAGTCAAATTTTACCCTATAATGCTTTTTTTTAAAGATATCAAATAAAAGTATCAAAACAGTAAATAAAAGTAAATAAGACAACTCTATAGGTGTACTAACTAGCTCTTGTAGGACAGCTTGACAATGATTTCCAGAATAAAGCATTTTTTCAGTGTTTTTTAGTTTCTGGAGTGCGTCAGTTTGACTGTATTTCTGTATCAGTTTTAATTAAGACGTGCGTGTCAAATGTGGTTCAGTCCACCTAGCATGTCAATTCTCTAGATGACTCTCATTTCAGAGTCACAGTGGAATAAGAAACATCCCTTTACAGCCTTTGCAGCCTGCAAGTTCTTTATTTTACAAATAAAGAGGTTGAGAATCACCTTCATTGGTGAAGGCAGAAACGTTAATTTAAAGCAGTTACTGTCTCCTGGACCATGGTGTGTGATCTACAGTACTGTGAATGGTATGATTTCTAAAGATTTGCGGCACTGATCATCTACATTTTATTCAGTATCTCAGTCTCTTTTTATTTTTCTAAAGGCCAGACCCCAGGGACGACCACTGGACTACCCAAAGGTGAGAAAAAATGCAAAGTCTTTTCATTTCAATGTTAACAACAAGTATAATAGCTTGTTGGCTTTTATTAAACACCACAGAGTTTGCAGTTGGTTTTGGTTGTGTTTTTACAAGCCACCATTTGGAAAACAAAAAGGATGTTTTCTAGCAGTTCAGCGTTTGCCAAATGTAAACCAATAAACATCCCATGTGGTGAAAACAAATGAGTGGAATCTGTACAGGTCTGTCAAGCTTGTTGTGTGTGTGCTGTCTCGGTGTCAGAGCTCTTCCTGAGTGCTTGAAACAGTCAGAAGTGGACACACACAGTGACCCTGCATGGCTCTGTGCAGTGGATTTAAGTGCATTTGTAATGCCTTTTGGCAGTGCAACTTAGGGGGGAAAATTAGAAAAAGCTCTAGATTTCCAGACTCATTACAGTAATGAAATGACCACTTATTCTGGGACAAGCAGTATTATTCAGGTTTCATCTTGCAACACCTTCGCATTGAAGAGTCATCCCCAAAATTTGCTTTAATCCTTTTAAACAAAAGAGACACATTCGTTGATTTCAAAACACATACTATTGGCACTACGCCCATGAATTAGGAGTAGATTTTGTTTCCAGTGTTCGTATATAGAGAACAAGATTTCCAGCATTTGACCAGTCCGGATCTTCTGCCTTTTAGCAAATGTGAATGTGGGTCTCTCGGCTGGCCTCATTTACTCGTTTACTGGGGGGAATGTACTGTATACAGTGTAACTGATAGTTGAAAGAGAACCTGGGTTCTTAAGTTAAATATGTCTTTACTCTTCAAGAAAGAGGACAGATAGGCAGGAAGAACATAAACGAATGGTTTGATATAGTATAGCATCTGAAATTGGATCATTGGTTACAAAGCACTGAACCTATTTCTGGAAGAGACAGAGAGGCACTGAATGATTACATTAGAGAAGTCTTTCTGTTGCATTCCAGGTACAGAGGCACTAGGATTTTAGAAACAAAAGTGTAAATTGTCAGAGAAAAACTATCATGTAAGTCCTTAGAAGTGGATTGCACACATACAAATGACTTTGTTTTATAGTTCATTGTATGATTGTTTTATTTCATACATATAACTAAATTACCAAAACCAAAACTAAATGAACACATTTTTAAAAGTGTACTTGTGTGAACAGAGAGGTCTATGAGCCATTCTTGACATGAGAAATTTCCAGTATAGGAAACATGGAAGAGAGAGAAAGGTTAATCAGAAACTGAGCACATTAAAGTTCTCTAGCTGATGTTAAGTATAACACAGAATGATTTGCAAAACAACTGTTTCATAAAAAGGTTCCTTATAGGGAAAGTAAGGACTAGACTCAAGAGATCAAGATGTTTCTGAAGTGCTTTATTATTATCATCTTTGTTTTATAAACAGCCATTCATGGGAAATATTGTAATGTGATGTAGAAAACAACAAAGGATTAAAAAAGTAAAAGAAAAAAATATTAGTAAAGGCCATTACAAAATAGGTATTAAAACAGGGGTGTAACTGACCAATAGTTTGACAAAGGCATGCCTTGAATTTCACACATACGTTTTAAACTCAATTCTATGCTCAACAGGAAGCCAGTTCAGAGATTCAAGAACAGAGATTATATGAAAATGAGACAGAATCCTGGTTAAAGATCTTGTTGCTGAGTTGTGAAGTTGTGCTGTGATTTTACAGTTTTCAATTCTGGAGGAGATAAGGGCGTTTAGTAGTTTTCCATAGGCTACTGAGACTTTGACAAAGCAGGGCCTAGAAGGTCAATATTGCTAAAATGGAAGAAGGACAGCCAAGTTTTCCCAACATAAGGTTTGAAAGTGAGCTTGGGCTCAAGGATGACCCGCAGGATTTTGGTTTTAAGAAAAACACAAGCTTTGTGTATTGGTAGCCATGGCTGAAACCATCTAACTTGTGTAGTAGATGTGGATAACCTAGTTACATCACTTCAGTCTTGTCGCTATTTAACTCAAAAGGTTGTTGCCTTCACAATTTTCAGATATCCGATGCCAGTGAGAACTGAATCAACTGTGTCAGTGTCAGGTTTTGGCAATAGATCAGGGTACCTATATGTTAAAGGTAGAAATTTACATGATGGTTTCTAATTTGACAAATGAAAGATATATTGAACCTCAGAAGAAACCACTTTCTATATGTAGGCGTGTTATATTTCCAGGAAAAATAATAGAGTTTGCGGATTGTGATCAACTTTGTTGGGTATTGTTTTGATGAATTGATCAAACTAGAGTGACTCTGACTGAGCTCTAGATCACTTCACTTGTGAGCCTCACATGGGTGTTGAGGTGATTTAACCCATCAAGCCAGATAAAAAGGAAGAAAGAAAAACACATAAAAGTACAAATACACCCCCTTATCATGAGAACAGTGCCTTTGTGTCATGGGTCTGTGGTGCAGATGTGCTGAATGACATGCTAATTATTGCACACAACAGGCCAGTCAAAGAGGTCTAAGCATGTTAGTGTGAGAAAACAAATGGCTTTTTCTTACAATGATAAGATCTAAAACAAGTAAGAGCAGTACCAGAGATACCAAACACACTTTCTAACTGAGCAAGAAGAATATTATGACTGAGAGTGTCAAAGAAAGCACTAAGGTCCATTAATACAAAAACAGTAGGAGAACTAGGAGCAGGGGCCATTAAAATGTGATTTTGACTAGGGCTCTTGCAGTGCTATGTACTTTGAAACCTGAGCTGAAAAGGTACATGAAGTTTATTTGTATTAATATAATGCTGTGATGCATTCCAACATTTTAGCCAACAAAGGCAAATCTGAAACAGGCCTGTGATGGTTTTAAATTTTCAGTGACCTGGTTAGATTTTTTAGGTATAAGTGTAACAAGAACAGTAGGAGACACAAACCCAAAGATCAGAGACTGGCTGATTTTATTCACCAAAAGCAGGCAAGGCAGGAATGGAATTTAACGAACAGGAAGTAGGTTTCTTCCATGTACCTCACATTTAAAAGAAGAAGCCTTCATAGAGTAAGAGATCAGCGCACCAAGAAGAACAATGCTCATGGTGGTCGTCACGTGTGTGACAGAATAGGGAAGACACACAACGTATGCAAGTTATTTGTCAGACTTAATTAAAGTCTGCATTGACTCACTTCTGTGTTTGCTAAAAATGAGTGTTTCCCTCAACACTTACGAAGGCACTTAACTGGTGAATGGAATTCTAAGCTAGTTGTGTACTTTCTCACACTTGCAGACGTTTTAAAAAAGAAATCTGATAAAATTCCAGAATATCTTGAAATCTGTTGTGCAAAAAGGAATCTCAAGTTACTTTAATTAATAGTAGGTTCAAGTTGTAGGTGTTGATTGTAACATCCCCATTCCACTGTTTTGGCACTCCTCACCTTTCTTCAGGTGCTATTTTCTGCTGTTTAACTTTAGGATGATATTCATAGGCAGGAATAAAATAATGTATTATATTAAGCAATATTATTATAAACAATAGTAATGCTTTATAGTCATGAATATACTGTACTTATGCTAATAAATAAAAATGTATTTTGAGCTCAAACATTATTTTTACCAATTTTATTAAACTAAACCTTTCTGTCCTGCAAAGCATCTAAGAATAAATAATGTTTCAAATACATTTGATTTAAAGGACATTTCGCTTTGGACAGATTAGAAAGTGTTTTTTTTTTATTTCTTTTTAAAGACAAAATATGTAATTTAATACAGACTGCTGTTATCTACTTGAAGACTTTCACTTTGCATGTTGCCTGATACTTTGCACAATGCAACATTTTATTTCTCTAATTATGTTTCGTTTTGTTTTTGTGACAGTTGTGGGGAGCAATCAAGGCTGGCCAAGGTGTGAACGCAGTTATCGACCTGTGCTGTTACCATGGAAACAAGGCACTTGAGGCCATAAAGTGCTTCCCTCCCTCTGAGGCCAGATCAGCTTTGGAAAACATTGCCTGTGCTGTCACCAGATTTTGATGGAGGCAGGGGAGACCTCCACCTCTATAAAAATGCAGAGGATGTATACTGTGTATATGTGTTTTCCAGTGGACCTTTAAAATAAATACAAAATGTTTATATAAATAAATTGATTTCTTTCTCTCTCTTTTTTTGTTTCATTTGTTAAACAGTAGGCCGTGCAAGAGTATAGCTTTTATTTTTCATGTGGGAGCCAACAAAATCACAAAAAAGGTCAAACAGCTTTCACTTGTCATGCCAGAAGCACACTTGAAGCTGCACCGGCAGAAATAATTAATGAGACTCGCTGCTGTGACCTCAGCAAATGGACAGGAAATAAGTCCGTATTGATTGGACACAGCCCGGGTTGGCGCCAGTGTGGTGGCCTGTGGTTTTCTTGCACTCACGAGGACAGAGCGAGTGTGAAGCTGCAGGTGTCACTGGAAACACTCGCTAACCTGTCTCATTCCCCTCCATTGCCCTGTGGTAACAGCTGCGCTTATCAATATGAAGGACAGCTCAATGAATGAGCGGAGGAAGAATTTACAACCACAAAGAAAAAAACAATAATCGGGTGCTTTCAAACTTAATTTCAGCAATTGCCTTCAGATGTTAAAAAAAAGTGCTTTAAGAAGTACCATTCTGTTCTGGTGCCTTTACATATCCAGTGTTGTAAAAGTTATGCTACACTGCTCTTGCTTAATACCAATGGGGAACATGTAGCTTTACTTAAAAAAAGAGCCTCGGGCAGTTGCTAAAATATTTATTCCCTGACTTAAGGCAACTTAGGAAATGTAAATGAATTGTAAATGGTACAAACAAAAAAGGACAAAAAAACAAAATGCTAAGGATGTCAAAGTGCAGTAATACATTAAAGGAGTTCTACACTGAAACTAAGTTTTGTTTTTTGGATGACCTAGGAAAAGTTTATGCTGTTGATTTATTGTGTATACATGGTCTAGTTTTATGCTCTGCTTTGTTCCCGCATCTTAACAAAGTTAATCCAAGTAAATAGCTTTTAGTAGAAGGCATTTTTGTAGATTTTGTTTTTTCTGTTGTTTTGTGAGAAGTTCCGATTTTGTTCTACACAATACACTCAATGTTAGGATGCAGACTTAAAAGTCTTGAACAATAGAACGCCAATGACAGAAAGACTATAAGGTGTATCATGAGTCTGCAACTTGACACTGTCTCTATTTTGTTCATAGAGATGATTTTTGTGGTTTGCATGCATGCAACCTGAGAGGAACGTTGACAAGAAGGCTGAGTTTACATAAATGATCTAGATTGGGATTCAGCTACCTTTCTTCCTTCTGTGGTGTAATTACAGCCCAATCTGGAGACAGCTAGCACAGCAAACAGATTTTGTTACACTATTCCTTCAAACACTTCGAGGGGTTACTTTCTGAGCAACAGAGGACCAGGGCGTCATAGGGATGCATTGTTCCTTAAACGTCTTCCAGTGTTACTACAACTGAATGATTTCAAACACGAGAAGGAAATAAATCTCCATATTTTAACTTGTGGAAGTGTTTTTGCTCCATTTCGAAACCTGGAATCAGATGGGTGCGTTACTTCACCCATCACACTCCTTGGGTGCTTCTTTTTATTTTCTGATTTTCTTATATAGTTCGACATTCTAAATTAGTCTGCAGGTTGTCAAATTCTAATTGCCCACAATGGCCTGTTTATTCTGTACACTTGAGATATAGGTTTTTCTTATTCCTTGTGGTTTTCCTTCTTTGTTCAGCTTGTTATGGAGTGGTAAGCAAATTTTATGAGGATCAGAAGAAACCACTCTGAGCATGTGCGCTTGTCAAAAAATAATACATCATCTGTCCATTGATTAAAAGTTTTGGGTGTCTGTTTGGATCAATTGATCATTCCTGAATGACAGTGACGTGTACAAGTTACTTTGTTACATAAACACTAAATGACCTTGCTAAATACCCGACTGGCCTTGACCTCACCGAGGCTGTTGGGGCGATCCAACTGTGATGGACCATCCAGGAGTGCCGAGTAGTTATTGATGACAACCTGACTGCACGACTCATTATTGGGACCTCACCTGCTGCCCTTCCTGCGGGCTCCCCCTGACGTGACAGGTTCCAGCAGGACAATGCACGTCCTCGTGCTGTTCACCTTTTCGTGAGAGATGCGAACGTGATGTTCATCAGACTTGAGCCATGTGGAACACCTTTGGGATGATCTGAGACAACAACATGGGCATCTAAGCCTCAGAGATCAGCGCATAGGCACGTACGTGTGAACAAGTAAGGGAAAATTTACCACTGAGAAATAGAAAACAGAAACACAGTGTTTCAGCCTTGTGACACCTGAAGAAAGCTCTACACCCACAATGTTGTGTTTCTCCTTTCCATTTTTCAGCGTGGAATTAACCCTTACTTGTTCTGTAAGGAGGCGATATGGAGAAATGCCACAAGCATCTATAAATGTGTCGCAATCTAGATTATATAGTATATTTGTATTAAATGTAATTAATATGCGTTTAATCATTGAGTCGGATGACAAGCATTTGAACATGGAGCTTCATCAGTGTAATTTCCGTCTCCCTGTACCTGGCGTGTTTCATGCCTCATCAGTTGAAGTATCTGGATGCTGCTACCTCTGCTGCCACTGAAACAGACCATTAACTGAGTAATGGTTCTGCTACTCTTAACCCCCATTAAAATGAGTTGCTGCTCTTTTTAAAGTACTTATGTATCTTGCTAGTTACTTGTAAAATTCCAATTCGCTTTGTTTGATTTCCACTAAAAATAAAGTCATATCCAAGGAACTTAGCGCCGTATGCGGAAAAAGTTCTGTTGCTTTTGATCAGATTGTTTATCATTGTAAATCATGGGGTGACACTTTTGTATGCTGATAAACTCTTATTTACCTTTTTGTTATTTCGAATCCACGGTGTGATGGAAGATTCTCCTCCTAATTCCATTGCTAATAATTATTTGCTGGCTTTCTAATGAATTGGTACTTTTCTGCTTAGAGATTCTCAAATGTACCTAGCAGAGCTACTGCAGTTGATGCACCTCTATCTCGTGCTGCATTTGATCTCAATGAGTGCAGAATAATTAGATAGAAATGGCTGTGTGCACTTCACAGGCTTGCCGGTGAAGTTCGCCTGTGGTGAATCACTTGAAAAAAAGTATTGGCACCCTGTTGGGTTTGCCCCCAGTAGTCAATGGCTAATTGAAGTTGGTCTTATATACTGTTGCGTAGAGAGAGAAAAACGTTCAGTAATGCTGAGAAGATCAAAGACAACCACAGAAGCAGAACCAAATGCCTGCTAAACTTCACAGGAGGTTCATACAGTATGTGTTAAAATCCATTCCACCCATCACAGCAAAATCACCAGGAAATAAGCAGCTACAGATTTTACAGCCGAATCACTGCTGGATAAAGACATATTACCTGGTCCCTCTTTCCATGGTCAGGATGTCTAGTGGGCCGTGCTGATGCCGAAAGGATTGTCATTGACCTGCTTCCTAGAGGGGAGTGTGTAGGTGCAGCCAGGCCATTAATGCTGTGAAATGTGCTGTAATATTAGTGTAAATATATTTAGTGTGTAAATATTATTTCTATCAAAGGTGTTGCACAAATCTTCTAAAGCATGTGATATTAAATGCATTTACTGCTTCATATTTATTCCTTCATAGATCCATGTATAATGCTGTTTGAAAATCATTCTGCACGACAACACATCAGAACACATTTTCATCACAGCAAAACAAATTGCTGTGCTAATGCTTCATACCAAGTGGCTGCTGACAGTTCTGTATTTCTGTTGTATTAGTGAACCCATTAAATAAACTTGATTTTAGAATATTTCCTGTATTTGATTTCCACAGGATATTTGTGTGTATCTCCTACTACAAATTATTTATTTTGCCTGTATTCCAAATGTTCTCAGTTTAAATTTATATTCTTGCTCTGCTAGCATGAACTGTGACTTCTCTGTCCACCAGATGGAGACATTTGCCTATCACTTTATGTGATATAGTTGCTGCTGACTTCGGTTCTCTGAACCATTTATCTACCCACTGAGATATTCATCAGTTCACATCTGCTCCCGTGCAATCTCAAACACAGAGCTACGAGTGGGTTTCCTCCGGTAAATGCCTCTGTTTAATTTAATTTATCTTTATCCCTTATGAATAGAAAAAACTTTTATTATTCCTGAAGTCTTAAAAAGGACAAATACAGGATTTATACCATAATGGATCCAACTGTGCTTGCTCTTCAAATTATAACCACTAAGTTTCTCATGAAGGTGCCACTTAAACTTGCATTAGCTTTTTCACAAACTTTTGTGCACTGCAGGGAGCAGTGAGAGGAAACGAAGGTCTAATCATGTTTTGAAACCTCTGTGATTTTGCTGATGCACCATTTTTCTCCACTTGGCAAAGAAGGGGGAGCACTATAAAAGCAACATAAATGTTAACATGTACAGAGAGAAGTGTAGAATTTAAATCAATGGGAGTTACGATCTATTAGTAAGACCTAATTTAGAATTTTGTGTACAGTTGTGGCATCTTTATTTCAAAACATACATTGCCTCCCTTGAATCAGTACAGATAAGAATGACTAATTATACCATATAATTTGACTTAATATATATATTAAACTAATTGGCTAAAGGTATTGAATCTTTTTTTTTGTCTTGTACAGAGAAGACTACAAGAGGACTCAATTGCTCAGATTCCTTGAAGGCACTGAGGAAGTTAGTCAGTGGATTTCTTCAGGACATGTGACTCTAGGCTGAAGAGGAATGAAGACTGAGAACAGAAGGAATGTCTGCATGCAGAGGGTTGTGGGAGTTTGGTACCTGATACCCAGTATGTCACTGAAGCTGATTCCCTGGCACCTTTCAGGAAACAGAGGGATAAGATCCTCAGATCAGCTACTAGCAGCTAAGCAAATATCCTAAATGCTCTGAATTGCTGCCTCTCATTCGTAATCGTAATTCGTAATTCGTGTTTTTATGTACTTAGCATTAGGGATCAGATTTCAATATATTATCCTTATGGTCTTCTCAATCCTTCCTGAAGCAGGTCAACCTTCTTACTAGTCACACCACTGCCTTTTGAAAACATGTTCACAAGGAATAACAACTTCCAAAAATCAGATACTATGTAAGTGTTTTCTGAGTAACAGTTAGTTTTGGCCTAACCTGCTTGGTCATAGGTCAAGGAGGCTGTGACCCTCATGCTATGTACAGTAAGGGGGAGCTGCAAAGGTGGAGATGGGGTATAGGAGGGATGCATGAGACAAAGTGCAAAAAGAGATGTTTGGGTTAGATAGATGTACTGTACAGTTAATGTTGGGAATCATTATGGTTTAGAACAGCTGGGTGAGACTGATTTGTTGTCATTATCCCAAACTTTAGCTAAAGTCAACATTAGGATTCTCTACAGAAAACCAATGGGTGAGATTTCTTTCTGGGAAAAGCTTAGCAAATCATACAAAATGTATAAACTGAAGGAAGGCTGTTTATCACATTATTGTAGCTATTTCCTGTGGCAATTCATTAAATTCAGGATTCAGTTCAGATTTACAAAAATCTATAATAAGCTTGATTGTTCTTCATTTAGGAAGAAAAACACCAATTTATATACTACGAGAAAGTGACAGCTTCTCACTACCATATAACATAACATATACAAATACATGACCTGAAAATTTTTCTTACATGACACTTACAGTAGGTATTGACTGACTTGGCTGGGTAGCGCCAGGGAGAACCATTTGTCATAGGATTCCTGCCAATTCCTTAGCCATGGGCGGAGCGGTGGCACTTTGGCTAAGGATCTGTGCCTGTGGCTGGAAGGTTGCTGGTTCAACTCCCACAGGCGGCAGAGGAATCCTGCTCTGTTGGGTCCTTGAGCAAGGCCCTTAACCCCAACTGCTCCAGGGGCACCGTAAAAATGGCTGACCCTGTGCTCTGACCCCAAGCTTCCCTCTCCCTGTCTGTGTATCTCATGGAGAGCAAGACGGGGTATGCAAATAGTCAAATTCCTCATGCAAGGAATTATATATGGCCAATAAAGTGATCTTATAATTCAGCGTGCAGCCTAAAACAGACTGACACCTAGCAAAGCAACCCAAGTGGATGCTGGGGATGATGGACTCTGAAAATCCCTTTGAGTATGAGAAACGATTAAACCACTACTGTCTCTCCTTGCTGAGGCTGTTACAAGAAAATGGGATTGAAGAAAAAGGATGTGTTTATCTGAGGTTGAAATCATAGTGTGATTTAGACGTATGATTAAAGGGACAAATGGATGACAGACACTTAGGCATTACTATACTATGGTGCTCTCTTGCTTTATTCCTAACATAGGAATACAAAAATGCAGATGTGTAGTTGTGTGGGAGAGAGGAGTGGGAGAATGGTGAATTAAATAAATTGGGAACACGAAAACAGAAGAGGAAATTCTAACAATGAAGGGACCTACCATGAAGTGCCTTCATGAGCTCATTCCAGTATGTCAATATATTTTTACAAAGCCCAGCCTTCTCAATACAAATTGCTTTTGTAATATTGACATAACTGTCTGACAGAAATCTACCACTATGGTATTATCTTATTTATATTATATAATACATATGGAAAATAAACCAACCAACAAATCAAACTAATGTGCTTTACCACAATGTTGTGAGCTATCTAATTATTTGTGATTGTTTATTTGATTTTAATGTGCCTATGTTTTTCTGATCATAGTCTGTTACAGTGCATCTATAACTAACTAATTTTCATATCTTTTTAACTTACAATGCTCTTCAAAACTAATTGGACTACTTTAACACTTTGAATTTTAAAATTTGAAGTTATTGTGACCCCAATCTAAAGGTTTATTGAAATCATTGGGATGAATGTGAAGTATGCTTTTGTTCTAATATTACTAAATGTTTATATGAAATTACCCAAAAGTAAAATGGATACTATCTTGTACATATTATTCACATTAATATCATTATTAAAAGTACAAATGTATTGACTGTAAGACAAAAATAACAGTTTTGACTTTGCTTCTGCAATACTTTTGGAGGGCACTGCAGCATAGTTGAACAAGACAAACTGAGCTAAAAAAAGACCAAGATAAATGCAACATATCTCCAAAAATTGGGTCTTGTCTATGGCGTGGGATTCATTCTCCACTTCAAGGAACTAGGTTTTCCGGTGGAGAAAAAAAACAACCGAGAAACTGTACAGCAGTCACAAAGTATCTTGCTCTGAAATAAAACAAGCACTGTTCCATATTTACTGTATGAATAAGAAATTGTAACACCAGGCCAAAATTCAAATAAGACCACTAATGTTATTCATAACTAATAAGAAAATGCATGTTTATGCTACATAATTAATATTGCAAGCATCATTTGATTCATCAGGTTTGAGTTACTGTTCATGATCAAATTCAATTGACTTACTGTAGATACCATCAGTCTATCATTCTCTTTGTATGCCAGAATGGCAGAATGTTGAATGGAAGACTATGACAGGCAGAGCAGCTCAAATTACACTGTGCTGTGTGGAGGGAGACTGGCCTGCCTGGAATCCCCACTTTGACTTGGTTCCGAAAAGAAAGAAAAATGGCAGGGTCTTGTTTTGTGCACTACAGCCATTATCACCTCTCAGCTGTTAACTCATGTTGATCTGGTCACGTTCTGTGGCTAACTCTTTTTATTTAACAAATATGTACACCCACAGGCAATACACTATCGCCAAATCACAGTTTTGCTTTGATATGCATATTTCAGTCAGCTGTGTCTGAAATTCAAATAAGGTTTCTTTTATTTGTGCGTTTGATAACAAGGATATGGTATACTAAAATATTCAATATACAGGAGTAATACAGTATAGGCTGAAGAATCCATTCTGAAGATCTAGGATTTAAATACAGACTGACACTTATAACCTATACTAAGATATTACCTTAGTATGTTAAAAACCTGAAAAGATCACCTACTGTATTGCATAAACAAACACACACAATCTCGGGTTATGTTATGAAGAGGAACCTACATTGTCACATGGAGTCTAGATTTTCCTTTTCCGCAGCCACAATGTAGACTAATTACTTTTACTTTTAGTTGTTATTCCATATACAAGTCTCGATGTGCAAGCCATTCTAGTTCTATAATTTAACTATAGTATTTGGATGATATATTTTAAACAAGACGACTCAAAAAGAAAGATGTGCGTCGATAATAAGAAAAATACAAAACCCCAGCGTCTTAAGACGCCCGTAAATGATTTTAGAGTAATTTTCAGCTTGACAAGAGAGGTAAGACATTTCCCGCTAAATCAGTTCCGTGTCAAGAAAGGCAGAACACCTGTTGTGAAAAAGTCGTTCCAAATAGTTGAAATATACATCTTATCTTTCCAAACGCGTAAGCACTGTCAAAATGACAGGGATTTCCCCCAAGTGATGTCTTCCTCTCTGCAAACACAGCTGAACGCACGCTGCATGATGCTCAGACATGAAGTGATGGCAAATATCAATTTTTGAGTCAGATTATCTCATGAATGAAAACAACTTCTGCATCAACTATTCAGAGAAATGTGAAAAATACATATTTGGCGTGTCACTATATCGAAACGATATGCAACAAAACCAAAAAAGAACAAAAATGTACATTTTTTACTCAGCATCCTTATTCTTTCCCACACGCAAACGTGACCAGAACTTTGGCTTGCCCACAGTAACCCACAGCTGTGCGGAAATGACACAGCAGGCGAGTGCCGTCACGTCACTCGAGAGGGCACAGACAAGAAAAACACGGCGGACAGTAACACGGACGACACTCAGGCGTGTAAAAAATATACCGTGATGCGAGGAATCGGACATGCTCGCCGAATTTATTAGTTTGCAGGCTACGCCAGTGTTCGAAGGTGAGTTCGGAACTACTCAATGCTTTAGCGCTGTGCAATAAATCAAAGAGGGGAAAAAACTCGCCCGTAGATCTTTTTCCTGCCGCGTCACGCAAAGAGAATTCCATTATTAAAACAGAACCCAACAACAAAAAAAGACCAAGTGGGCGTGGGGTGGGCTTCTGCACTGTCGTTTTGGGTACGGATCGTGCTCTGGAACATCTGTATCCCAAGTTTTATGTCGTAGAAAATATGAAAAAAGTGCGATGAGAGGATATCCCTCTCGGGTTGTTGCGGTTCGTGGGTTGCTAGTGGAAGAATGAGGAAGTGGAGTGGTCTGGAGTCTGGCGAGTTTCATCTGTGTGCGTGTGAGTGGAGTCACAGCGCCTCCACGGCTCTGCTGAGGAGATCCGCTTACTGCAGCGCCAGTACAGAATAGAACGTACTGGTGCTGCAAAGGGTCATGTTTCAGTTGGGGAGCCCTTCATAACATTTAAATAAGAGTAACTAGAGGAAAAAGGTCAAATTTATGACCGATTTCTGGGTTTAGGGGATCTGTGCATAATATATCGCAAATCTTAACTTGAAGAACATGTTATAAATATCCTTTTTTGTTCGTGTTTAAGCAGCCGACATCATGTTTTGATATGCTTAAAATGTCAAAAAATATTTTAAATTCAAAACAGAAGCACAAGCACATGACTTAAGCTTACAGTTACCAAACTGTATAATGAACATTAGCAAAAAGCTCGTTAAACACTCCTGTACTAAAAACATACGTTGCAATTAACTATATTTGTTAGGTCAAAGAATTATAATACCGTGCTTACGAGGATAACGGTATTTTTCCTACTGTAATAAATTACCTTGTAAAACACGTTCATACAATCAACTCCAACAATATAATTATCAAATTCTATGCCAGCTGAGTTGTCAAACTTTGAGCTGTGAAAGTAGGCTTTGCAGACAAATGTGAACCGGTTTATTTCTGTAATGGGCAAGAACTGTTGTATTGTATCCTTTTGTTACTATTAACAGGTGCGATATTTTTGTTATGATTCCATAGGCTCATTGCGTGCCAAATTACCCGCAGTCCACAAAAAAACAGTTGAAAATTTTAATGCTGCTTATTTTTGTGTTTTTAAAGACAGAGGTCACGTACGAAATAAACCCAAATATTGAAATGCACCATGATGAAGACTTACATTGAGATGCACCATTTTGTGTTGGCAGTTTAGGGGGAGTTAGTCATAATTGAAATAAATTCTCATTCTGGAACATATAAAAATTATGTTTAAGAATGACAGTAGTCCAAGTGTAACCGACATTCTGTTTGCAAATCTGCTGTTGACATATTTGTGTTTTCTTGGATTATATTGTGCAGTACTACGAAATACTTTGAGTTCAGGGAGAGAGAAATCATAAAATGTGTATAAATAAAGAAATCTTTAAAACTAAAACCATGTGCTGTGTGTAACCTGTGATTGAAGAGAATTGGCTTAGGGTTACAGAACTATTGTAGTATCTCTTAGGTCAAGAAAAGAGACACAATATTTCGGCTGTGAAGCCTTCTTCAGGTGACACCTGAAGAAGACACAACAATGTTCCCTTCAGCATGGAATAAACCTTTACCTGTGCCTCACTATTTTTATAGATTCATCTATAAGGCCATGGTATCATAGATATTGTTTTAGATCCTCAGAACCACACCAAAATGAAATGCATATGATTAACACACAAAATAGGCTCAGCTAGTTCTCACCATTGAATGTTATTTTTCGGCCTAAGTTCATACATAAATACAACATGAAAGTGGAATTTAGGATTCTAGCCTGCATAACACCAGTACTGTTATGTCATAAGTGAGAAGTACATGAATGTGGTTTTACAAAAGGCCTGAAACCTTGATCACATTGGTGATAATGATTAAGATGAAAGGGACTACAGTACGTAGTTCAATGTCAGTAAAGTTCTGTAGGCGAACTGTGATTCAGTGTTGTGCATTTGTGGTTGATGTCATTTTAGGTCATGAACTGTTCTGAGCATGGGGAGACGTCAGATGGTGAGGCATCAGAGACAGGTAAGCATGTTCATCATCTGACCCTGTCGCGTGACAAGACTGAAGGCCTGTGTGCTGTAGGTGTTTCAGTGCTACCAATAGAAACAATGCAAATAATCTACAATACAAGGACCGGCTACTGCATAAGGATTCATCATTCAAACCACAGCTTATGGGGATACACATCCTTGTTTGTCAAGAGATTTGACGAAAAGCATGGGTAGGATTTAAATTAAATCCTTGGGGATAGATCCTCATTATAATAAAAAAAACTTTTGAAATCCGTCCATTATCAGAAGGCCACTCCTTGAAGCCAAGGGTGTGTGCAAGGTAACACCCCGCACAGGATTCCAGTTCATCTTAGGGTACTCGGACTCAGAGAGGCGGATAATGCCGGCGTCACACTACATGACTTTTCTTAGGATTTCCAGTCGTAGCCTTCATTTACAGAATTCTAAGAAAATCACAGCGAGTTGTAGAGTTGCAGTACGCACCTGTTACCATCAGTTGTGTAGTGCGACACCCCCAGCAACTCAGTCATAGCACTTAACAGCCCCTAAGACTCTGCGTATGATAAGTTGATGTTACGATGTTACATTTTTTCAAGATCTTTACGTGCTTGTCCTCCGTGTTGTTTGTGCGGTGCTCCGGAATAAGGGGTGCTCCCCTTATTCCGGTGTGCTCCACATTGTTTGGCTGCCAAAATGAGGCGACCTCGCGGTAATTTTGTGGCACAATACGAGATTTGGAACCGTGACAAAAAGTTGCAAGGGAATCTTGTAATTAGTCACAACCCGCGATTCCTGGTCGGATAATTTGACTCCCTCTAGGATAGAAAAGGCAGCGAGATTCAGCAACTGCAGTCATGAAATTTGACATGCTCTCCGACTAGAAGTCGTGTCGAGTCATGTAGTGTGACGCCGGCTTCAGAGACACCAGTTAATCATCCCCCATGTCTGGCCAGTGGGAGGAAACTGGCACTTACTCAGTGCAGCCACTCACAAACATGGGAGAAGATGCCAACTCCACACCGAAGGTGCTCCGGTTTGGAATCGAACCCAGGACCCTAGAGCTGTGAGGCTAACCACCATGCAGCCCCCTGTTTAAATCATTTCAATGAAACTGGGATCTCCTCTGTCCAGGCTCTGACTTGCACCCTCATACTGTACCTTAAAATCTTTAGCTGCAGTGCTTTCATAAATTTTAAACTTCATTTAAAAGACTTAAATCTTTGCATAACTGCTTGTAGGAACAGTATTTTTAATCTGACATTTCGGATGAATTTGTTCACTTCAAGTTTGCCGGTTATTTTGTGGAATTATTTGAGTAGTTTGAAAATAATGATGATGTTATGCTTTGAGTGTTGCATGTAACATTACTGTTTGCAAGACTCTTATATTAATATGCCAGACCAATAATTGGTTTTGCACCAAATGACCTAAGTGTGTTATTGTCTAAACCAGTGGTTCTCAAACTGTGGTACACCTACTTGCAGTGGTACGTGGAGTGCCGCCAGGTGGTACGCCACATGACCCTGGAACTGTGTTGTGTGCGCTGAAAAATCGGGACGGGTTTTCATATTTTCTATTTTAAGATGTATCGAATACGCAGCCTACGTACTACGATACAGCGCGCGCTAATACTTGAGTGGACAGAGCAATGTAATGTAATTCTATACCACTCTATAGGAATGCATGCTATGAACGTAAGTGACCAATATGATGAAATATGATCATCAAGAGCAGGGACACCTAATGAGCCAAAAAAGGGACAAAGTGATTCTTGCAAACGGCCTGCTCTGTATATACAGCAGAAGGATCATGGCTGTGAAGGACTATTGTTCCTCCTGTTTTCTAATCACGTTTTCTGCTATACCCAGGCAAAACATATTCCTTGTGATGCATCAAGCGCTCATAGTTTTATCATGTTAAACTTTAAGGTCCAAAACCTATAGATGATAAAACATGGTCCCTAAAACAGAAGCAGTTCTTTAATGCTGAAATAGCCCCGTGTTCAGGTACTGCCCACTGAGGAAAAGAATGACTGTGTTTGCGTGCTTCTCGGCAGAAAGAAGACCCCTGCGCTGTGTGAAAATGGAGAGACTCATGGAAGAGGCAGCTATCGAGTGGTCCGCAGGCTGCAATACACCTGAAGGCAGCATGGAGAAGGTGCTGTGCAGCAGTGTGGAGACGACGGGCAAGAGGGCCAACACCCAGATTGTTGTAGACAGCCCGAGCAGTGAGCAAGAACAGCCCACCAGCGTAAAAAGACAGAAAGTTTCAGCAGAGGTAAGTGGGAAGAACACCAGTCAGGCAGTTTTCCTGAATCCCAGTTCAGTCATTCCACGTCTTCAGCAGTGGTTTCATGCTGCATAACGCTACAGCAGAAGAACTTAGTGAAAGAAAAAGAAAACTGGCTGTGCTGGCAGCCTTTTTCAGCATTGGTCAGGGTTATTTATTTTATGCCGATTCTAGATAAAAGCAGAAGAGTCATGGGAGGTTACACAAAAATAATCGGCAGAGATGTGTGTACATGCTAGATAAGCTTCACATTAAGTTGTGCTTGTAAATGAAATGTTTCATGCCACAACATAACGAATTACACATCTGGAATCACACTCCTTTTGAAGGAAAACCCTTGTCTTTTAGAGCGGAAAAATAATTCTGATTGAAGATGATTGGTAATGTACCATAAAACAACACTTCGACACACACACACAAATGATTTCAGCTTGCATCAGAAAGCCAGTTTTTGTCATGGGGTGTTAATTTGTTTTTTACTTTGAAGGGGAGTAAAAGCACAGACCACCCGCAGGAAGTTCAGACAAGCACAGACTACATAGGCAAATCGAAGACTTCACTTGTGATGTCACCCGGTGAGAACAAGGACTCTTCTACCGAGAAAACAATAGCATCTTACAGGAAGCCTCTGTACAGCATTTCACACAAAATCACAGAAAAGAAAAACGCTTCTGGCCTTGATCAGCATTCACTGCACGAAGCTGGAGACCGAGGGAACTACAGCAGCCTTTTATTTCCCAAAATCACTGGGGAACCGAACAGGAGGGAGCCCAGCATAGCCATGGCTGCCACGAGCAGCGAAAGCGAGTCTAACATTTATTCTTTGATAGAAAAAATGTTTTTTATTCTCAACACGCTGAACTCCAGCATGACCCAGCTTCATAGCAAGGTAGACTTGCTTTCGCTGGAAGTGACGAGAATTAAGAAGCGGATCAATCCCTCCGAGCTGGTCGCCGAGTTTCAACCCCCCGCCGAGTACCAGCTGAACACCGAGGAGCTGAAGCAGATCATGGATCAGACCTCGTCGGCGGGGGAGCTGGCCTGCAGGCTGCTTGTGCAGCTTTTCCCTGAGCTTTTCACAGTGGAAGACTACAACAGGAACTGCAACGCCTGTGGGATAGTGAGCAAGAAGAAACTGGATTCGCTTCATTTGCAGCTAATCCGCAACTACGTGGAAGTCTGCTACCCCTTGGTCAAGAACGGGAGCGTCTGGCAGGTGGAGTGCTTGCCTCAAATCAATGATTTTTTCAACCGGTTCTGGGCGCAGAAGGACATGGAGAGTGGACAAGTGTGTAAGAAGGTGACTCCGGGAGCTCATGGTTACGAGCCCGATCAGAGCCAGAGCTGTCACTACATCGATGACGAAGGGCAGGATGAGAGCCTGTCATTGGATTCGAGCAACAACATTGCTGCCTCGGATCTAATGCTGGATGCCCAGGACGTTGTGGAATATCTTGATGAAGTGTCTTCTCCTGGGGATTTTGCAGTTTTCTTAATGCACCGCCTTTTCCCCGAGGTCTTTGAACAAGGAAAAACAATGGAGGGCTACACTTGTTACAGCGGTATGGGGAAACAAATTCTCGATTCTGATCGGCTCGAAATAATCCGGAAGTACATGGAGGCGTACTTTCCAGATATTCAGGAAGAGAGCTGGCTTCAGCTGTGCATGCAGAGGATGGAGGAGGAGTTGGAAAATGCACATGGAAATGGGAGCGAGTCTGAAAATGCCAGGGATGAGAGCTATGATTCGTCTAGTTTACCTGATGATGTATCGGTTGTAAAAGTTGGGGACTTCTGTGATTATGATAAACCAGGTCGAAGATCCAAGAAAATCTGGTTGGTTCCAATCGATTTCGATAAAATCGAAATACCACCTCCGGATTTCGAAGTCCCTCTGCAATATGTGCTTACAAAAGACCAGATTAAGAATAACTATGAGTGCAGCCTGTCCATTGGGAACTTTGCCTCCCGCTTGTTAGTTCTGATGTTTCCTGAGCTCTTCACTTACGAAAACCTGAGGAAGCACTACAATTGCAGTGGGTCCCTGGGCAAAAAGCAGCTGGATCCTGTCCGAATAAAACTGATCAGACATTATGTGCAGCTGCTCTACCCTCGAGCGAAGAATGACCGGGTGTGGACGTTAGAGTTTGTTGGTAAACTGGATGAAAGGTGTCGTCGAAGAGATACTGAGCAGAGGCGCTCCTATCAGCAGCAGCGCAAGGTCTACATTCCGGAACCGGAACACCAAGACTTTGTTGGCTGCCAGCTGAACCCAGATCGATTCCGAGAGGAGTTTGAGGTGCCTCCTTTGCCCCCAGAGAGGAGCACGAAAGATTTCTGCAAAATCCCCCTGGAGGAGTTAGCCGTGCCCTCTCCCGATTTCCCCGTGCCTCCCGTTTACCTCCTCTCGGATACAGAGATCAGGGAGATTGTCCAGCAGAGCTTGTCTGTTGGCAACTTTGCAGCTCGTCTTCTAGTGAGACTCTTTCCAGAGCTGTTCACGCAAGAAAACCTCAGACTGCAGTACAACCACTCTGGTGCCTGTAACAAGAAACAGCTGGACCCGGTTCGACTGAGGCTGATCCGCCACTATGTTGAAGCTGTTTACCCTGTGGACAAGATGGAGGAGGTCTGGCATTACGAGTGCATACCTAGCATTGATGAAAGGTGTAGGAGACCTAATAGAAAAAAGTGTGACATACTGAAGAAAGCTAAGAGAGCCAATACTGTATCATATTTATGAATGTCAACATATTTATATAAAACATATAATTTGCACATGTTCAAAATGCACAAGTACATAAGCTTAAGTGTGAGTTAAATGAAAGTTATAGTACTACATTGGCTAATGCCAGAGTATTATAATTTTCATTTTATCTATTGTAGAAATCTTATGCCAAATTAATAGTTTTAGCAAATTCTAACCTTTTATGTGTCTAGTATTTTACGTGTCCTTGTTACGCTATTGTCAGACTTGAAGCTGGAGTAACTTTTAGTTCTTATGGACATTAATAATGCAACAAGCATTGGGTTTTTCTTATACAGGAGAAAAAAAAACATTATTTTGCCTTAGTGTTGTATGATCTTTCTTCCATATCGTGGATTTGTTAGGATATATGAAGCTGGATTCCAGCTAGGAAATTAATTTAGATAACTGAGTCATTGTCTATCTTATAAGGATTAAGATTCAGCTGCATATAAGCTAACTTCAACAGCAGTGACTCACCCACCTTTATGTATTTATTAACTAGTTTATATTTAGTCATTTTTAATATTAATTACTTAGTATTAGCATAGTAAAAAATGTTAGTTTAATGTATTAAATCCCATGCCTGTACAACTTGTGTGAAATAAAACTTGCCCAATAACTTTTCTGTCGGCTGTAATACAGAAGTATTAATACATCACATACTTATGATTATTACAGTATGGCCAGTTGTTGTTGCTGCCACAGATTAAGTTCCTTTAAAAGAGGAATATATATATATATTTTAAAAAAGCAGAATCGCCTTTTTTATCACACACCCACACAATTCAGACTCGCCAATTTTTCTTTACGTCTTGGCTCACGCGAGGGGTGCTGTACCCACGTCACAAGCTCCACGGCGACGTTCAGGAGGCTTAGCTCTGATTGGCTCGGAGACACGTCCCTCTCTGTGTCGGGGGATGCCGTTTTGGGAGGAGCCCAAAAGAGTCCTGGCTCACTGATCCTCGCACTGATCGAATTGATACTGTGCTGCGGACGTCTTGTGCTCGGTGCGAGCCTGTTGACTGACAGGACTGACAGCAGGCCAAGAGAAGAAACCGTTTTGGAGTGCAGAAATATGGAATGAATCAATGCAAAATTATCTTAATAAATATTCCTAAATTTGGTAAATATTCAGTTAGAAAAAAGTATATCTTAATATTTTTACTTTACGTGATGACAGCTTTTAAAGTTTTTGTATTTGTAGAATTTGGGGCGTCCTAAGCCTTAACTGAGCTTTATGAATATTTTCTGATGTGTAGCTTAGATATTGTTAGCTCCTTTCTCATATTATCAAAACATAATTACAATATTATGGTCTAGGGTAAATTAAAAGTAAGAAATTATTTGTATATTGCAGTTATATTATTCAGACACTGCTATATGGCCGAATTGTCAAGCACATATGCCCTTCATATAAAATTCCCGTATTAACCTTTTTTCTACTTAATACTGTAACGCATACGGCCACCATTGCAGGTTGTTCAAGCCGGCTTACCAGCGCGGTGACGTCACCGCCCTTTCCTGTGAATAGCAGGGACCGCTGCCGTTGGGCTGATAGAAGATTTCCCTTTAGCTCAACTGGCTGGGTCCCTGTTGAGTGACGCCGGAGGCCTGGGTTCGAGTCCCCAACGGTGGGGGGCCGACCCGAGGCGGCAGCGGCGAGGGCGAATACCCACATGAACCCTGGAGCGTTACAATACTTACGTGGCGCAGTTCTGTCACTCGACTTTATTTACTTGTGAGCTCCCTTGGAAAACCGAGCTTAAAATACTTACCATCGTTGACGTTCAAGCTTGAATTTTCTTTCATGACGGCCTTAATATGTTTGTTTATGCTATTGAAGCTGCCTGAAAGCATCTTTGTCAGAGGTTCTGCTGTGACTTGTGGCCTCACCTTTGCTCCTCTCTGTTTTCTGGCCAGATTTTAATTAGCAAAAGTGTTAAAATTGATCTTGCATTGAATTGGATGATAATACAGTATTTTTCAGGAAGACAGTAATTGTAACAAAGATATGTGGGTTTGAAATGTAAAGCTGTTATAAAAAAAGTTACTTAGAAGTTAGAATGCACATTCTGAACCAAGTGGTGGTTATGGTCAATTTAATTGTAGTGCTTTGTGAGTAAAGTGATAATCCCATTGACATTTAGGCAAAGGCCTGCATCTGTTTGGTTTAAAGGCCCTGCTTATTACAGTAAAAACCCTTCCTTGTAGAAACTAAGTGGTTTCATATGTAAGAAGCAAGCAGATAATTTCCTAGGTACTTTCTCAAAGTGTTAAGAATAAAACAAACTGTAAAAAAAAAAAAATCATACTTTGCATTTGTGCTTTACACATTGTGAACTGTTTTTAAAAGACACCTTGGCAAAGATTTTTACTTCCATCACTGGAATGTTATGGGCAGTAATTGCAAAATCTTGAATTTTTGATGCTATGAATCTCCTCCTCTATTTAAAAGGAAAATCAAGCCTTTTAAAACACTTTAAAAAAATTGTCTAATTTTGTCAGTATGTAAAAAAAAATCTTAGGATGCTTTAAGAAGATTTATTGTAGCAAACAATTTAGAACTTTGCACAACAGTTGAGGAAACAACCTGTGGTCAGACTACTGTCTGAAAAGAATCTCAGTCTAACTGCTGTAAAAATAGTCACATGTTAAAAGTTTTATGTTACATATGATATATGAGGGGAAAAAAACGACACTGTTGCACACCTTACCTTTAGAATACAAAAACCCTTCCTGGTTTTCATCTCTCTGTGATGTCGTGTAATACCCCTTCATAGAAACACTACAGCTTAGTCATTTTGTTATAAAATGTATTGCAAACCTTTCATTTCTCTAATGCCTGCACAAATAAAAAGGTTGGCATAGAGCCTTACACTCCAAACAATGTCTGTCTGAGGATGTCACATACAGTATTTGGTGTAGTTGTTCCCCCTAGCTAAATTAACTTGTGCTCTCATAAAAACAACAATATTAAAAAAGCCATTGGCAGTCACCGTGACATGAGACCTACAGTTGTGGCAGATTTACTAATAGCCCTTAAGTGTCCAGCAAATCTTTCTACTTAATTTTGTTTGAAGATCCAGTAAAAAAACAAAAACATTGTATTAGAAACATTAAAATTAGGCATTTAGTATAAACTGTACCACATGACTACATTTGCCGTCACGTTTTTTCCAGGAATATTTTAAATATAACTCCATCTAGACGAAATCCAGTTGAACATTTCTTGTTTCTGCCTCTTCTTCAGAGTGACCATCTGAAAGTTTATTTTCAAATTGGCACAGTAAGTGATCTTAAGAATTAAGCAGGTAATCCTGTCTGCTGAGCAGTGACTAGGTTCCAGCATGCAAGTGCCACACAGAAGGCACTCCAGCCCCAGATCAAACCCAGGACTCTGTGAGCCAGCTACGCTAGCCACCCCACCAGCTGTTACATCTGTGCACAATTTTAATACACACATGCAATACAACTCATTCAGTTATGTGCACCATGACTAGTCTTAACTCCACCTGACTATAATGAGCACTTCAAACGTATAGTGTGAGTAGAATTTTTTTTTCCCCATTAATGAGGCGCAATATCTAGTATTCAAGATGGTATCATACAGTGTGAATAAAAAAAAGAACATTTACACCTATACCTAAATTCTATTAACTATAAGACTGTCTTATAAGCTGTATATAAGAAACAAAATACATAAGACATAGGCAATAGGCATAAGACAAAGGCAATCATAACACAAAATGATATAATAGGAATTATAGAATCTAGAATCTGTCTGGGTCATCCTATAGACAGCCAAATACATATGTTAACTGAATTCTGCACTGCATTATACAATCACACATTTTGGTGGAAAAGAATAAATAGTATTTATGGGAAACTTCAATTTTCCCCACATAGCCTGAGAAAAACCTAAGGGAATGTCAAGACCAGAAACAGAAATGGTAGACTGGGTAACAAATGCTTTGTTACTGAATTTGACAGAACTTCTGCAAGATCTACAAGTATTTTATTTATACAGTAATTGTCTTTTCAAACAATCGAATCAGAATGAAGAAGACAAAACCATTCAGGAACTGATTATACTTTGAAGGATACGTGAAACTGTACAAGTTAAGCCTACAGCTATGTCTACAGCTTACAATGACAATTGAGGAAATTCTTTTAAAGGAATTAAAGCACGGTTTATGAGCTAAAGTATGTGATAAGATACAGAATATGTGGAGAGTGAAAGCAAAAGTTTACATAGATTCTCGAAAATCAAAGGGTAAAAAAAGTGTCCCAAATGATGCAACAAATAAATTAAAAATATAAGAGGAAAAAACTTATATTTAAAAAAACAACAGGATTCAATTAAAGACAATGTATACAATACCTGTGCTTGTAAAGCATATTAAGTCAAGAGAGAATGTAGGCTAAAATAAAAGCAAAATGTATAATTAATAATAATAATTGCTTACACTTACTGTATATAGCGCTTTTTTGGACACTCCACTCAAAGTGCCTTACAGGTAATGGGGACTCCCCTCCACCACCACCAATGTGCAGCATCCACTTGTATACACTACATATACAGTATATAGTTACAAATACAGGTTACGAAAACTGAGAAAATCAAGAAATAACTGAGTGGATAAATTAAGTAAAATAAATTATCATAACCCCCAACGTGCAAGGGTTTTGCCAAGACTATACCTGAGCAGCTGGTATTGTTAGAGGCACATGAATTTGTTGTTCTCTGGCACAGCTTTGCTGAAAAAGGCCAATAATTCAGGCACAGTTGATTAAACAAATATTTATTGACAATAACAACAACAATACACACACTACACAAAGTTCTTTAATAACAGAGGAGGCAGCAGTGTTTTGGGTACCAGAAGCAGACAATAAATCTCGGTACCCAATGGTCGTACACGTTAACCTATGTACAATACAAGTTTACAAACAAGGTGTCCCAGAGACTTAATGTCCTAACCACCCAGAAAAATCCCAGACTCTTACCAAGTATTTGACTCTTAAATACATGTAATGCCTACAGAGGCCGAAATAAGACACAAGATACCTTATAAACTAAAGTGATTAAATCTCTCTGCAAACCAGGATGCCACAAAATATATGGGAAATGATCTCCATATTCTAAAATGCACTCACTTAGAGAAGCCGTTTTAAGCCGGGGGACTCGAGAAACCCACGTTTTCTAAAAAAAACTACAGAATAGCAAGCTCTCTTAGCAAGGCTCAGATAGCCTCAATCGGGTCTTCTCGGATTATTTGGAAAAGAACCTCTGGCGTGGCAAGCTTTATGTTCTTTCTTCTGTCTCCACTCTCTCGTGTCTTGATCTGATCTTCTATGGTGTCTTTCTAGCCTGTTGATTGACACTTAATAATCTACCCAGAACTTAATTAAGGTAAACCTAGGTACACTTTACAGTCGCTTTGATCACTGAATCTGGACCCATGACATTTCTACCCAGTTGCTCCAACATGGTTTTCAACCTTTGCTGTTTAACAAGCTTGTCAGATCACTTGTTAATTACAAATCCTCTTACCAATAATGTCTGAAAACCAACAGCACTCCAAAAAAAAAAAACTAGCAAAAATCTGCTCTTTATTCATTATTTACATAATCCTGATAAGGTGGATTCTGTGTTGCAAAACACTGCTCTGCACAATATACGTAAACTGTTTGGGAGACTCATGATGAGTTCCAAAAGAATACTAACGGGCTGTAGAGATGGCCAATTAAAATATCCCTTCATCTCCATTTTGCCCCATTTACTTGGCCTTCAGGGAAAGGTAGGTGTCCTCAAGATAACAGAAGACTTAACACATAAATGCAAAAAAATGCATCCATATTTATTTCATGAGTAAAGGAAAAAAAGACATACACCAAGCCACAGAAACTTTGAAACTCATGAGACACTCTCAACCTTCAGCATACAGATCTTTGCAGTACAGTTCTTTTCAATATCTTCTCTTATGTCCACGTTAGAGGACTATATTGGCCAACTATATCACCAGTCCATGTTTTTTAACTGTAGACATGCCTGGGAGCAGTAGTAGTCTAGGGTAATCCACAAAGTACTGCGGGTTTAAAATGTCCAAGTGAACAACACTTGGTACTGGACTGTAGAATAAAAAAAGTGAAGAACAGACTGCATGTATTTTTTTAAATTGAGTATGACTTTTCAATGTTTAAATCACAGGCACACTTCTGTATATCTGCAAAAATCTTTAAATGAATAAAAAAAAACTCCCAGTATTTTACTGAACTGAAGCTTATTTTTATAGCTTTCTGACCCTGCAGCTGAGCTGGGACTCAGGCATTGGATTGAGCTATTCCAAAGCATATTTTCTGTGCTTTATAAAAGATTTTAAAATTTAATTTCGCTGTATTACTATAAAAGAATGTGGATGGAGAATTTTATTACAAAATCACTTGATGACAGAAGTCATGTTTTTTATTACTTTAATCTGATGGACCTCAACTAACATCACTTGAGTCTCCTCCCTGGGGATACACTGCAGTGGCCTAGACCAACTTACTGACTTTACAAAGCAGCACACCAAATATGCTATGTCAGTTAAACTGCAAACAGGACATACTTTAGGCACTGTTTATTTGAGATGAATAGTCATCTATTTGTCTCCGTCTTCTATGTATACTCACGTCAAACACAAGGTTGTTAAACCTCCTGTAAACATTCATTCATTATGAGATATAGTATTAATATAAAATCGTATTAATCTAAAATATTTAGACAAAGCTTACATGATGGTATGCACATTAGTTCCGAACCATCTGTATGAATAGAAAAGCATTTTCAACATTCAGTGGGGAAAAAAAAACATTTAGTGGATAGGGATAACTCATCACCTGAATATTTCACAAAATTCACCAGTTCAGTTCTATTGAAATCTCTGCCCCTTATATAATGTCTGCTTATTTTAAGCACATCTTTGTAAACAAAGGTACTGAAATATCTGCACCTCAGTCTTAAATTTAAAGAGATCTTCAACATTCTTGCAAAGCAATACTTGCAAGTATTGCATTTAACCAATAAGAAACAGTTATGGAAGAACCTTATTGTTTGAAAGCCTCCTGTTTTGGAAGTTTTAGATTTTTCCAGCGCCTCAAAATAACCTTGTATTTTTCACTGTCTTTGGTTTCTCCCGACACCTTTTTGAAAATCACCCTCATGAGTGTGACGGTGTCAGTATCTTTGTCTTCTTCAACAACAAGGTCCAATATGTCTCCAACCTTCACCTACAAAAGACATAAAAACAAAAGCTCTGAATTGCAATACTTCACCTCCAGAACTACTGTAACACAACCATTACTAAGACACTTACTGCCAGATGTACCAAAAAAGACCCGTTGCAGCTCATATGTACCATACTGTGCATTGCAGCACATTTATAAACACTGGTTGCTATGGCCAAGAAAGTATTGAAGAGCTGCAAACTACTATTTACATTTAAAATATAAAACATCTATTGTGAGATTTTAGCAAGTGATGACAACAGTGTGTGAGACTGTTGGAAATAATATATGAGCGATGTTGTTAACAAGATGTGTATAGCCTGCTACACTGCTGTCTGAAACAATGCCCCAGTCTATCACACCAGGACCACAACCTGAAATTAATGTCAAAAAGGGAGGCATGAAAAGACAATTATTTTTTCTAACATATCTTAATTTATCTGGCTGACATTTTTATCCTATGTAACTTACTTCATAAGGCTGGGCAATTTCATTGAAGCAATTCAACTGAAGTACTCTTCTGAAGGGTACAACAGCAGTACCCTTTTGGGCATTTCAAAATGTTCCTCTACAATGCTTCCTTTTCAGAGAAGAAATTGGAAATCCCATAATTCTCTTCCCTCAGAAGGTTAAAAAAAACATCTGTACTTAGGAGTAAACATATCATGGACTAACCCCGAATGCTTTGCTATGTTTTTAAGTACAATGTTTGAATCATGTACCACTTGTACATTTATGGAACAGGAGTGATTCTTATTTATGTACAAACTCTGAGAAACTGCTTGAGGTTTTAGCTGCACGTGTAGCTTCTTACTCCTTTTATACTGGAGTAATGAGAAATGTTTTTTTTTAAGGCTTGTATTGTATTCTCCGGGCTTGCATTTAATAAATAAGCATAACTGGTCAAACATAAGACAATGCATACTGGAAGATATCAGCACATGCTGGCATTGGGTTGATAGTATTGATAACGCATTCCGAGCAGGAAACTACAGATCATGTGGCTTGCAAGTCTGTGCCAGTTCCTAATTTGGTCTTCACATAATTGGAAGAGTGTGGTAACGATACTGAACATTATTTCTTCTGTTGTACTAGGATGCACTAATTGTTACCAAAGTCAATGTCTCCTTCATTTGACAATTAAAGCAGACATAGCCAGGAGATGTTATTCTCACAATGACTTTTAAAGTTTTGCTGATTGGATATGCATTTCAAGTTCTTAAATATTTGTCATTTTTAGTGTTGCAATTTAATATATTATATACTCTGTACTTTCTCATTATACGAGCTTAATTCATTCCTAACAAACTACTCACACAGTACAAACTTGCATAAACAAAATTCCCATTACTTCCCACGTAATAATGTGCAATTGGTTATAGAACATTTTCTCTCTAACACCCAGACTTCACCTTAATATAGCACAGAATGGTTGCTAAGTTTAAAAGCAATAACATTCCTGGTTATCAATTTGAGTAATATGCTTAAAATCATCAGCTGATGCAAAAACAATGGATAGGAGAACAGTAACACTCCTGCTCATTATGGTACAGTCCTGTAATTATTACAGTCATTAGTAAATCAGGTGGGGAGCTGCATCAGCATGCGTAGGCTGCAAAGGAACAAGTAATGGGTTTATTCCATGCTGAAAAAAAAGAAGGAAAACACGTTTTGGCCGTGGAGCCTTCTGTGTTTTCTTTCTTTTTTCCCATCATGGAATAAACCTATTACTTGTTCCCTTGCGTCATTAGTAAATGTTAGGTACTATCCTGTACAGTATGCACTTAACACACACAAGCCCTTATTATAAAAAAAAACATTAAAATGTAATAAAAAGTAAATTCCTTATCTGAAAAAAAGAATTTTGGTAATGCTTTACAGGAGCCCATCTCATAACAGTAACATGAAATGCTTAATCGATGAAAACACAGGTAAGAATTACTATACTATTACCATTTGTGTAAATGAAGAGTCATATATTGACAGTTCCTATAGCTGAATCCAATTTTTGAGCATGAGGTTACATCTCTTTAGTACACCTGGCTATAAATGCAATAAGCTTTTTACATTTGTGACTTAAATGCAAATCAAAGTGCTTTTGTAGTGAAAGCAATATTAAAATAATTACAAATGAGTAGAGGCCTCACTTTTTTTTCAGTAGGTGCAGCTGTGGCATGCAGCTGTTTTTGGAAGAAAGCCCAGAATATCAGATTCAACAACATGGCTGGCTAGCTTGTTCCATACTTCTACAGCCCTTTGTGTAAGGAAGTGATTCCTGTTCTTGGGTTTAAAGGTACTTCCATTCGGTGTTTCTGAGAATTCTGAATACTTGAATCAGGTCTCCTCATAGTTGTCTCTGTTCAGAACTAAAAAGATTAAATTATGTTAGTCTGCCACTGCAGGATACTTATTGAACCCAGGAGCTGCAATGGCTCTTGCATCTTAGTTGAAAATTAAGCCTAATCATTAAGATCCAGAGCTTACTTTGGGAGAACAGATCATAATTATTTAAACATTTTCTAAGGTTCATGGGCAAAATATTTTGTATTTCATACACATATTTCATGGGTTCAACAAAAGTGGCATACTGGAATTTAGATTTTACTATAAACATAAAACAGAACTAAAGCAAAAGTGATTTATTTTCAGTCAATATACTGTAGACAGATTCCTTCATACAGAAATACAGACTAAGAAGTGATTTCATTTATCACGATACCATTAAAGGCACAGTAACAACATAATTGTAGAGTAGAACTGGCATTGTTCTCCTCTTTTCACTTAAAGGTTTTTCCTTCTTTATGTAGAAATGAATAATTTACATTGAAATTAAAAAATAGCTAGTTTGTTTTAAGTGAATATTTAATCATTATATCTTACATATATCTATAATTGTAATTCTAATATTTTGTGAAACTGAAAGCAGCCTTTCCACTTTCTGGATGTACAGAGAGGAACTAATGATAATTTTAAGAGGAGAAACAGATTTTTTTTTAAAATGTGATGGATGATCTACGACAACTCTTCATGTTAGCTGCGCATACTGCATTCAGTATACCTTTAAATGACGTAAACAGGTATTTGAAAACAGCAATTAATGGGAATTAAATACTGCTAAATGACAAGCATGATTTCCTCTTAGAGTAAACTATTCTAATAGTCAAAAATATTATAATTTTAGAAAACATTTGTGGAAGCTTTAAGTAAACTGAAGATGCTTATTACATACAGTGTATTCCAACTCATCATTGTCTAGAACTACAGCAGTGTATAAAATGATGACATCTTATATGATTATGTAAATCTTTTTTTATTTGACATTTTACATTTAATGCATTCAAATGCCAGCTTATAAAAAAAGTGACATTTATCAAGAAATCTGGAACTTTGAAACATAAAAACATGCTTCAGCTAAGATGCTCACGGCAAACATAAGATACATTTGCAATTGAAAGCCAAATACATAAAATAACTACTGCTAGATAATAAGAAACAATTACTCACTGTTTTGCTTTTTTTAATAAGTTTTTGTCCATTGAGCCTTAACTTGGTGCTGTAGAATGCATCTTCAACTTTGCTGAAAAAGCAGGGATAGAAGTTATGTTAATAACGTCCTAGGTTATACTGACATATAACTTACACTAATTTATACTAATTTACACAATAACTAAATTTAAAACTATAATAATAGATAATTATTTTCATGATTGGGATTTCAAGCATATTGCACCTACATACTATTATTTATATACTATATATAAGTTGTATGGATAGAATAATAATCATCAATGAAATTAGAAAATTAAAAATAAGACCTTCTGAACCCATGATTTTAAAGATTCCATTTGTCATAAAAGCCATGCAACGTGTACAAAATGTTCCCCTGTAAAATTATTTGTAAAATAATTTAAAAAGACCAGTGGATCTACTAGTCTTCCCTGTGGGTAAACTGCTCAATCTACAGAAAATTAATAAATAATGAATAATCATATAGTTTCCTCACAGGGGATACTGGGACCCAGATATTTTTCAGACTCATTACCTTTAAGACTCCCGATAAAACCTGAAAAGCACTGACACGCATATAGAGGGCCATTTATTTGGTGCTGTGCATTTTGATTCACGTGCTCCCTAGCTTTCTACTGAGCCCTTGTGATGGGATCACTCACTTGCGAGCCATGTCCAAACCAGCTTTCATGATCAGATCATAACGAAAGGACTGCACCGCTTTCTCTAAATCTCTGTAGTCTCTGGGCAGGCCAGGGTCATCCTGGAGTTCCTCTTCACAGTCGCTTTCCTCTGGGTCAGTCTCCTCATCCTCCTCCTCCTGGGTCTTCTTTTTACTGCTCTTCTTTGCACTTTTGCTGCCTTTGAACCTCACAGGGAGCACAAACAAGCTTTGATATTGACCTCCAAGCTGGCCTGCACCCTGTTTCCCCAAAACTGATGATGGCAAGAAACATGGGCTCGAAATCCGGCCCTCATGTACTGTCCTGTGCAGCTCACCGGTACATCTCACCCTGCTTGTCACATGACAGGAAGTGTTCTTCCACAGCGAAGAAAGTCCATTCAACCTTCTCCACGTGTGAACTTGCAGCCACAACCCCCTCATGATCAAACCTAAGCACAGGAGACACACACAGCTGCAGTGATTTACGCAGTTTTTTGGTTCGCACATTTAAGGGGTTTGTCCATAAATCCATTTTCTAACCATTTCCTCTAATTCAGAGTCAGAGCCAGGGAGCCAGAGCCTATCCCGAAAAGCAACGGGCGCAAGACAGGATGCACTCTGGACAAGACGCCAGTCTTCCCAGAAACCAGACTACCCACCACTATGTCTTTAGACTGTGTGAGAAACCCGGAGCCCCCAGAGGAAACCCAAACAAACACGGGGAGAACACACAGCCTCCATGCAGACAGCGCCCCAGGTCCAGAACTGAGACCGCAACGCTAACCACTGCGCCGCTGTGCCGTTCTCTGTGGTGTGTGAACGCTGCGAATAAAAGCTGATGATTTGCATTAAACACACATTCAAGGACCTTGCGCGGAAAACTGTTTGATAACAACTTAGAAAAACATCCACAGGCAAGAAATTTAGCAAAGAAGTTTAAAATATTATTACATGGATGTTAGCAGCAAAGAAAAAAAATGGATGAGAATCGTCTTCAGAAATATGAAAATCACGACCAACAAAAATCACCACCAAGAAATACCATAGCAAAGCAAAATTGCAGGTAGGTTTCTGTACAAATTCATTATTTTTCCTCCAAAATAAACTTGACAATTACTGCAATAATAGCACCTTGACTACACTGATATTGTCTATGGTAAACATAATTGCAATGTGGCTGTGGCCCATATGTAAAATTAATTGCAGTAAGTGTCAAATCAAGATTTTTGAAGCTAAATTTGATTTAAAAAATGTGATGGAGGAAATCTGCAATTTCCCTCACGGGATCAATGAAGCATCTATCTTTTCCACATTTGTAAAACTGTTCCAATTCAATAACCACAAGAGGGCAGTAAAGATAGAAGGAAATAGTTGTACAGAAAGACACTAATTGTAAAGATATCTTCACATTGTGATAAAAGAATATGGAAAACATAACCATTACACATTTTTAAATTGCACTTCCCTGTGATTATACAGGTCGCATATAGCTAGATGGTTTATCAGCTTTTCCACAGCAGCAATTAAAAGTATATGCCATGTCATCATCAATTTCAATATGGGGTTTTCCTAAAAAGGTTATCCGGTTTTGAATATTTGAATTGGACTGTGCACCATAGCACAAACTATGTAAAATTATTAAATAAAAATATACAATTTCTGTAATTTAATTGTATATACTCCTATGTAAAATGATTAAGTTTAATTAGTGGGTTAAACAGATATTCAGATGCTATCACAGCAGTTGATACTGAGTCATGCTGATGGAGGAGTGAAAGTTGTGGATATTTGTTAGAACTGGTTAAAACATTTGTGAAAATGAAGACTTTGATACAGTTGCAGAATGATTCCTGAGAGCTCTAAAGCAAACTGGTTGACAATGTTTGGTCACTAGCAGTCTGAATATTGAGAGTACAAAAGTGCCAATGACCAATGGAAAGTCAGGTGGTCATCTTAGTTTACCCATAACCACCTCTTATACCTTCAAAGACTGAGCTCAGCCCACCAGACTGAGCTGGTTGGTTCTGATGCCTCCATTTCGTTACGCGAGCCCATACTGAAAAACTGAACATGTAATATGCAAAGGATGATGTCTGTCAAAAATAGATTTCACCTGCTTAAGCCAGTTTGCAGGTGAGGTAGTCTGACATTTGAAAATAAAATGGTGGACATTTTGGTTTATACAGGTTGCCCGTTTTTTCCAAATTTTATTGTAATAAGAATGACCTACCAAGAGTGAAATCAGCTAGCCAGCCAGCTTTTCAACAGATGTTAGAGGTACTGTTTGCACTCCAACAAGAATTTAATAACACTTGAGCTTCAAAATCTAAAACCGAATGGGCCATTGATGACATTTGCCAAGTTTCGATTTTATCAATGCAGTGGCTCCTGACAACCGGATTTCAGCATGTATCAGTTGCCTCTAGCATTATACCACCCATGTCGGGAGCTGTTCAGATGCATGGAAATCAACCAGGACCAATATGCAAAGAAAAAAAGAAGAAAGAACTTACAACTTGAGCCTGTCACTAAAGAAGCTAAATAACGAAGCCCCTATTAAAACGAATGTACTTCACATTAGTGTAAGTGAATGTGTGTGAGGCATATATAGGTGCATACAAATGATTGGATAAGCAAACATGTCTTCATAATTTGTCCTGGATTTCCCACATTTTTGTTTTAATTTCAGTTTATCTTTGTTACCTTTTAAAGGATTTTCTGATTTAGAGGCAGATTAGTTTGAGGGATTAGTCATAATCCCAGAGATGTTCAAAAACATCAATAATTTATAAGCAACGTTTCATTTGCAACCTTCACATTCAACACAATAAAGAAATGCAACGTAAGTACTGGTACCTCGATTCTACAGACGAATAATGTTTTTTTAAACTATACTTCATTGACAATGACAGTTCTTTTAAATTTCAGTCTTCCAGTAGTTGGTCTCAGACTATTAACCCTATGTCGTTCTTGTTGCTGTTTTACATCATGGTAATTTACTGAGCTTTCTATGACGCACCTGAGTTCATAACCTTGAGTAACTCGCCAAAGACGCTAATTGGAAATGTATTTAAAACACTTTTTTATTCTCGTCATCTGAACCTGAGTTCAGCATGATCCTAAACACAACCGAATTATGTTCCAATAAATCCATGCAGTCCCTACACGCTGCATATATGAATTAAATCTACTTGCGTCACATTTATATAAAAATATCGGTCCACGCATATCGTAAACGTGTACTTACAGAGCTACGAAAACGGCAGCACTTCAATAACTTCTGGAATTTAAAGCAGCCAGCACACTTAACCTCCCACCTTTGATACGTTTTTGCCTCTCTCCTTCTTTGCTCTTTCACCTTGACCAACCAAAGAGAGCAACAGCACAGCTGTGAAAGAGTTACAGCTGCTGTAATGAAACTGAGCCTGCAGCTACAGCGCCCCCTAGAGTCAGGTGTATGTGCGGCATCTCCGGTACTATTTGAACGTCTTACCTAGTCCCACAAGATAACTCAACAAGCATATAAAATAACATAAAAATGTATACAGTTACCAGAGAGTAATACGTAAATAGCACATGGCATAATGTGAGTTTGCCGACCATTTTAACAATTTACACACAAAAATAAAGTCTTCGAATAGCGCTTACTGTTCGTTACTATACTGAATACACAACTACAAAAGGACCCATACAATGCAGTATCCGACACTGTACATTGTACATAGTAGATCTGAAAACGACATTATTATATCGTCTGTGATCAATTAAAATGTAACCTAAACTATTTCTGTAATAGCACTAGTAATTTTTTAATGCCACTACTGATTAAAAATGAATGTGCTGTACACTATTATTCGACTCGGGGCTAAAAAATTACAAATTAAAACTTTTATAAACTTCGTGTTTCCCCGTACTAAACACATGAAAAACACATTCAAATGTTCACATTCCACCTACCAGTACTGACTGTAAAGGGCTTTTTCCTTACGTTTCTGTAAACTATATTATTTTAAATTCAAGTAATTTAAAGTAAGTGTCGTTGCAATATTGATTTGCTTCCTCTAGGAAAGTTTTCATTAAGGCGAGTGAACGTAAGATTACAAAGCGGTTGGATGGAAAGGTCTGAATTAAAGGGACATACTGTACGCACATAAAAAAGACACGCAAAAGCTACGGCTAAGTCTAAAGCTTAGAAAATGCGTTTTGTAAAACGATGGTTCTCATCTCATCCTCTATTTCCCTTGCCTGTTTATTACTAGTACTGTTTTAACCACTGGAGGTCGCAACAAGATCGTGAAACACGTTTCTGAACAATTGACGTTAAATTTAGATTCATTGTCAAATGAAACACATAATGTAATATATTTTTTTAAATATAGATACACAAGTCAGAGGGAGCTCTGCTGTAATCGTCCTTTTCAAAATCGTCTTTAAACGTCTGCTCATGGGGGGGATTTTTAGATATCAGTATATTAACTTAACTTGCTAAATAACATTTTTTTTGTATAAACAACACATTAGAAGACATTAAACATGGTAAATATGGAGTAACTATTGCGCATTTATTGTACTACTGCTAGGAGTAGCTGCCAGGCCATGTCCGTCCAAACCCACGCACATGCACTTGTCCTGGTGCGCTTTGCGGGACACACAAAGTTGATTATATGTGACCTAAATTACAAAAAACACCTTTGCTTCTGATTTCAAAACCGTAAACACAGACCGCATATGACCTCCCACTTTTCGTTTTCAAGGTCTCAGTCTAGGGGCAGCCTCCTTGCCTGCGTGATATGTCAATCACAGATGCTGGTGATATAAAAACCAACAGGTTCTCCATCCTGTATAGAGGTCTGCGGGAGCGTTGATCACTGCGTTTGTGAAGGGGCAACTTTTCAGCCACAAAAGCTACAAAATGACTAAAATAACAGCTGCGTATTTTGGAGCGGTCATGCTTGTCGTATGTTTGGTATCAAAACAGGTATGATTCCTATTGCTTTTTAAATTAAAGTTTTATATTGCTAAAATGTTAAAAGAGTTTTTAGGAGTGCTATTCTTGTCAGACTACAAACATCTGGAAAGTACGAATGTAGGTACTAAATTGCCTTTTTTAAGTATCTATTTTTAATGGGAATTAAAATGCAATATAAACACAAAGTACAGCTTCATAACTAATATCAAGTATTCAAAAAACAACAAAGTAATTATCTACAAATGTATTATTTTTAACTGTTCAGTTTCTTTCTTTGAAGTATATATTGGACTTGCGGTTTTGCGTAAAATGCAATACCTTAAGGTTGTCAATTATTTTTTTTTGCATGCTCGGATCTCCGAATAACCACCAGCAACTGAAGTTTATTATTTGCTGATATTCAGTTATTGTGAATGCAATTGAAAAAACATATTTTGTAAGATTTAACCCTAAACATATAAATTATATTAGTTTTTAATTTACATTTCCAATACATTGGACAAATAATATACCGCATCTGCCTAGCTAGTTAACACAAATGGTATAGTTACTTTGTAAAATTAGCAGAGAAACCTGAGTAAAGGTCTATCTACAGAGTCTATCTTGACCGATATCGTTTGGGTTGATTATCACATTTGCCTGGGTAGTAGATACCAATTGAAAACTATAATAGCAACGGTATCGACCATTCTTCGGTAACTTTTCGATTGAACTGTCTTCATTTTGATTTGATGTGAATTTTTAAAATAAATCAATCTGATGAACGACAGCAACACACCAAGACAGACATCGGTTTTCATGGTATGGTGTGGGATTAAAAGTGTTAAAGACGAGGTGCTTGGCAGTGACTACGGATCTTCTGATATATAGCACAGTACTGTATCCTTGCTATATTATTTTAAATGTTTACAATTAAAACCTGTTGAAGGATATAATTGTGCAGTTGCTTTTGTGAGTGTGTAGACGCATAGCTCCAGAAATTCGTCAATTTCGCCTTGCTGAGTCACCTTTCCAACTCTGGAACAGACCAGCGAAGGAAAATCTGATGGCCGGTGACGTTGTCAGAATCTCACACAGTACCTTATCTGTGAAGTAGAATATGAGGAGAACAGAAAACCCTAAACTTCATGATGCAAACTTTTTTTCTCAAAAAAGTTATTTGTATTTGAAAATAGACGCTATAATGTTTGAATTAAAGTAAATTATTCTTGTTTTAGGAAGCAAAACATCTACAGTATATATTGTACCAACAGCGAACGGAATTTTTGATGACCTTCTCCCGGCTGAAGGAAAAACTGATCTGAACGTACAGCAACTAGTGCACTGGCAAGGAAAATTAGGCGATCTAGGAAAAGTTGAGGTTTGAGATGTGAGTACAGTATGTGGAATATTTGATGCATTCCTATACTGTATAATGTGTGTAGGGATATGCAAAAGGGCCCGAGGGCAATATTGCCCTCTTTCATTCAATTCCCATGGTGCATTCTCAGGGGTGGGTAAATCTAATCATTTACTGTACAGAAGCATTTGAATGCTACATATCAAGCTGAGATGTTCCCTAATCACTATTCTGTGTGCCTTGATGTACAGGAGAGTACAAATTATTCGGGCTAAACATTTCTATTTATTTATCCAGTTAATAATGTCTGCTGTTGATCATTTGCCTACTTTTCTGCTAGAAATGTTGAAGGTTGCAATTTCTGATTCCAGGATTCAGTAAGGGTCTGGATTTCACTTACTATGTTGGTTAGATTCAGTGGCAGGTAATTTCAAGAGCTTGACCAAGTATTTCACAGTTGCAGTTAAGCAGAAAGACCTAAATCTTGACTGTATTGTTAGTACAGGGTAGAGCAATCTCCACATTCATGGCAATCTCATAAAGAGCTCTGTGCTCGTGGGCCAGGGGTATGATTTACTGTACGTCTCAAACGCACCTTTTGACTGGAACTCTGGTGAAAAGAGGGTGAGGCTCTTGGGCTCTCTGCTCCTCTGTGACATCATAGCTGTTTGAGCTGTGCTGTCAGTTTTGTTATTTTTTGCCAATAATAATAAGCCTACGGTCTTTTAAAAGGGTTCTTTTTGGAGTTTATACCAGGGGAGCAAGGACTTGCAGGACCCAGTTCCACAGGCAAAAAAATAACTGTATAGATGTTGCCCAGAAATGGGTGTGGTGTAATACGTAAAATGAGAAATAACTGTCTTGTTGAGTAAGAAAAGCTCAATTTCTGGTGATGACTTCTTCTTTTTGCTCAGGGTGGGAGGGGTAAATACGTTGATTCCTGTCTTTATGGCATTTTTCAAACATCATGCAAATTACAGGTCTACGGATTTTATTAAAGGGACCCAGAAATAGATTGCCAACACTTTTCTGCAGTATGGCCAGCTTGTGCGTCACTAATTTCTGCAGAGTTAACAGTGGAAATATAAAGAAGTATATTGGAGATATTAGTCTAAAGGATTTAAAAATCATTAACCTTACACAGGAAAGGAGTATATTAGACCTATCTGGCCTGTTGATCTACACTACGTATATGTTATGGACACAATTATATTAAAATGAAGGTTTGAAAGATTAGGAGTAAGTTACTGACATATGCCTATTCAATAATAAAGCCATGATTAATGATTATGAATGATATTTGGACAATTTAAGCTCATATTACTGCTTATCATGTATTGCTCTTATTGGTTGATACTGAACACACTGTTACATCTGATAAAGTGTACTTTGAGTCATTAAGCGGTACATAGCTTGGAAGGGCGTTATAAAAGTAATATAATAGTTTAGTTGTATAATAATGATTGAAATGTTATGTTCTGGAGAAACCTTGAGCTTGATCACACTCCAGAAACCTTTAGCGCTGTAATTTCGATTTCTTCTTTCAGTTTTTAAGAGTTACCATTGTGACCCTGTATTGGACAAAGCAGATAGAATCGAATGGATGGAAAATGAGCAGATTTGATACATTCGATGTTTACATGCAAAGCCTTTCATTTTCCTTGAAATGTCTCCTTTTCCATAATTGCCAAGCAAACAAGCAGGGGGGAAGTAATATTTAAAATTGCCACGTGTACCGCCCACTTGGATTCTAATGCAGTTTACTTTGCAAATCCCAAAGGAACTGTTCACATGTGTAGAGAAGGCTTTCAGAAGAGATAATCCTAGTGTCCCAAGGTTTCATGTAAATGAAAAGGAAAGCTCAGATTTGCTGATGCATTGTGCCTGTTTATTTAATAATTTGTGGGAGTGTTTTTGTCCACACTGGTTTTAAGATGTAATTAGTTGTGGTGCTGGCAGGGTACTTACCAATTACTCAAAGCAAGGCTTTACATGGTAAAGTTTAAGTTATAGTTTGCAAGTGAGGAGTCCTTTC